TGAGTTTGAGGCTGGGACACACTAGGTACTCACTAAACCTTAGCTTCACTCCCGTCTCAGATCGCTTTCCCTTCCAAGGCGACACCGAGCTCAAACTTGTCTGTGGACACCCCATCACCCCAAAGGTCTGCTGCGCTACTGAGCACGCAGGTCCCTCCCTGCTCCGATCTTCTCTCCCCTCCTCACTTCCCACCGCCTCCTTGTCCTTCCACACCGGGTCCCCTCAGGCTCCGGCCCTCCCCTCCATCCAGGGCACGAAGAGCCCCCGGGATGCCGCTCCCCTGCCCTCTCCTCTGCCTTTGCTCTGCTTGCCCCCTTTCTGGGTCTCTTCTCTCTAGACAGCCTAGGGCCTGGAAGGTGCAGAAACCCCTCTCTGTCCAGCCTTGAACCGGGCACCCCCTTTCCTGACCAAGCCAGCCTGAGGGTGGGGGCACCGGCTTCTATCTCATTCTCTTTCCGCCCCGGAAGCTCCTCTCTGCTGTGACCCCCGCCCCGGGCCCGCCCCAGCTCGCTCTGGCCGCGGAGGGGGCACGTCTCTCTGTCTCTCTTGGTCTCTCCCTCTTTCTCTGTCCACGAGCTCTGTGTGCGACCACTCGTCTGCCATCTGACTCCCCACCCACAAGGAGGGAGGCACGCCTGGCCCTGGGCTACCCTTGGCTGAGGCCACCAGGCCCGGCCATGTCACAGCACGGGATGAGCACCACTCTCCCCACTGTGGAGATTCGGGGCATCACCCTGACTTCCGCCGTCCCTCCTCCTCCCCGGGGGCCATCTCTGCAGTGTGCGGGGCGAGGGGGCACTTACCACTGCCCCCTGGCAGCAGGAGTCCGGCCAGGGAGGCGCCGAGCAGGACGAGGCACAGTGGGCCCGCCATGGTGTGGCCAAGGACAGCGCGTCCGTCCCGCTGTGACAGGTCTCTGGGGCAAGGTTCAGTCACCCTGGCTCCAGGCGGCTGGTCGTCTTTCTCTTATCACTGCCTCCTGATTGGAGCCTGGGCCGCGAGGGGGCCGGGGGGCAGGTGACCGCGCGGGGCCATGGCCGCCCTGCCCCTGCAGCCCTGGGGAGGTCCCGGCGGGCCTCGTCCTCCTCAGATACCGCGCCCGGAGGGGCACAGGGCGTGTTAGGAGGCAATAAAAGCGTCATTTCATAGTTTCCAGATGTTCTGTCTGCTCTTGTTTCATCCTCACGAGCACGATGAGAGCCAAGGGTCGTTCCCCGTCTGTCCTCCAGGTGCAGAGTGTCAGCCCACGGCCGCCTGACGCACACGTGGGGCTCGAACCAGGACTGCGGGCCTTGGCGGCGCGGCTCGGGGCCTCGGGCTCCGGGTGGTATCGGGGTCTTGTCCTGTGTTCCGCCTGCGCGTCAGGCTGGTGGCCCCCCCGAGTCCAGGGACTCCAAGAGGCAGGCGTGTCCCTCTGGGCCACAGGCTGCTACACGCACCTCTGGGAGGACTTTCCCGGGCCAGCGTGGCCCTGCCGCCGGCCAGACGCGTCGGCCCGAGACCCAGAGGGGCTGCGCCCCGGCCGGCCCTCCCAGCCCCAGCGCTGAGCCACGGAGGCGCCCTGGAGGCGCACATGCCACCGGGCCCAGCTCCGAGGACCGGGCTTCGCCTCGCACACCCTACGGCGGGCTCGCAGCGCGTCTGTTTCCCTCTCACACCAAGGCCAGTCCGGCCAGCGGCAGTGGAGGGGAGACCCGCCACCCCACGGCCCAGCCACAGCCCCTTGGGGGCAGGGAAGTGTAGAGGGCACCCGGCCGGCTCACTGACCGCAGAATGTGGGGCGCTCACCTGCTTGGCTTTCACCCCGGGGAGGTCCCACCACCAGGGCTGTGTCCCCCCAGGACACACGACAGCACCAGGAATAGCTCAGGTCTGTGCCCGTGGGAAGCAGCTCACCCCACGGTGGTCAGGCCAGGGAGGGAGGCGTGCGGGCTGCGCGTTGGGTGCAGGGCCCCTTGTGGGGGGGCAGAGACAGAGACGGGGACAGAGAGGGAGAGAGACGGGGACAGAGAGAGACAGGGTCAGAGAGGGACAGAGACAGAGACAGAGAGGGAGACAGAGACAGGGACAGAGAGAGACAGAGACAGAGACAGGGACAGGGACAGAGACAGAGACGGGGACAGAGAGGGAGAGAGACGGGGACAGAGAGAGACAGGGTCAGAGAGGGACAGAGACAGAGAGGGAGACAGAGACAGGGACAGAGAGAGACAGAGACAGAGACAGGGACAGGGACAGAGACAGGGACAGAGACAGAGATAGAGACAGGGACAGAGAGAGACAGGGTCAGAGAGGGACAGAGACAGAGAAAGAGAGAGAGACAGAGACAGGGAATGAGAGAGAGACAGAGACAGGGACAGAGAGAGACAGAGACAGGGACAGAGACAGAGATAGAGACAGGGACAGAGAGAGATGGTCAGAGAGGGACAGAGACAGGGACAGAGAGAGACAGACACAGGGACAGAGAGGGACAGAGACAGAGAGAGACAGAGACAGGGACAGAGAGGGACAGAGACAGAGAGAGACAGAGACAGGGACAGAGAGGGACAGATGCAGAGAGACAGAGAGAGAGACAGAGACAGGGACAGGGACAGAGACAGAGACAGGGACAGAGAGAGACAGAGACAGGGACAGAGAGAGACAGAGACAGGGACAGAGACAGAGATAGAGACAGGGACAGAGAGAGACAGGGTCAGAGAGGGACAGAGACAGAGAGATGGAGACAGAGACAGGGACAGAGAGAGACAGAGACAGGGACAGAGACAGAGAGAGACAGAGACAAGGAATGAGAGAGAGACAGAGACAGGGACAGAGAGGGACAGAGACAGGGACAGGGACAGAGATAGAGACAGGGACAGAGAGAGACAGGGTCAGAGAGGGACAGAGACAGAGAAAGAGAGAGAGACAGAGACAGGGAATGAGAGAGAGACAGAGACAGGGACAGAGAGAGACAGAGACAGGGACAGAGACAGAGATAGAGACAGGGACAGAGAGAGACGGTCAGAGAGGGACAGAGACAGGGACAGAGACAGGGACAGGGACAGAGAGGGGGACAGACAGACTTCACCGTGCGCCACACGCCCACCACAGCGGATGCGTTCTGCACGTGGCGAGTGGCCACCAATGCCCATGGTTGCCGGGACACCAGCCTCACTGTGCCTGCTTGCTCCCGCTCTGTCCCCAGCACCTCCAGGGGTGTCCGGCACACAGTAGGTGCTCAGCGGAGCCTGACAGACTGAGGGCGCCGGGCCAGGGCCCGTCTGCGGGGCGATTGCCGTTCAGCGCCGAGCCCGGCCCCGCGGGCAGCCTGCGGGGCTGACACAGCCCGTCTCTGGTGCGGTCAGCTGGCTGGGGGGCCGGGGCCGGGGTGAGTCCCTGCCTGTCTCCCGCCCCCGGGGCTGGGAGAGCACGTGAGAGCCACGCGCGGACGGAGGGAGGAGGTCGGCAGCCGGCCGCGTCCGCGCACGCCAGGTGTGCCGGCCTTTAGGGACAGGGCTGGCGTCGCCGGGCAGCCATCTGCGGCAGCTCCCGCTGATGGCCGGGGAGACCGAGGCCGGGCCAGCAACCCCGTGTGCGGCGGGCTGGGCTCCCGGGGTAGCCCTTCGGCCCAGCCTCCCCTGTTCTTTCCAGGAAGAGGGGTGAGCCAGCTCCTGCATCCTGATGCAGAAACCCCCCTCAGTGTCTGCAGCCCGAGCCGCGGAGCGGAGGACCCCAGAGGCTCGCAGACCGCTTCCCCGGCCGTGACACGACGGGGCGCTCCCAGGAGCCTCCTTTTACGTGCTCAAGACCCATCCTGGCGACCAGCATCAAGGCTCCCATTTCGTAGACAAGGAGCCGCGGCTCGGAGCGGGAAAGCGGCGTGGCCAAGGGCAGGAGGCAGAGCCCGTCTGGGACAACGTCGTGCCTGCTCGCTGAGCCCCGGGCCGGCGGCAGGCTGCGCGGGCGGCAAGCCTCTTGTGTCAAGGCCCGGAGGGTGGACACGTCGGCCTCTGGGGGCAGAGCATGGTCTCTGTCCTAACGGCTCTGGGCTGCGGTTCCGAGCGGCCAAGGATGCGGAGTAAGGAAGGGGCGTGTCCCGATGACACCTCGGCAAAACCAGGTGACGGACCCGGTGGCCGGAGCGGGTGGCCCCTGGCCCGCCCTGTGCTGGACACGGCTTGACTGTTCAGCCCAGCAGGTCCCGGCGCCCGAACGCACAGGTGTTGAGCACTGTTGGTGCTCCAGGCACCCACCCCCGAGTGTGTCCCGAAAGGGGGCGAGGTGCCCACAGGCTGTGCTCTTACCCACCTGGCCGCGTTCGGGCCCCGTTTTTGCGTCAGCTCCCCCCATGGACGGCTTGTCTCTCACTCCTCCGCAGCCTATGTGACTTTAGGCTGAGCAGATTGCACACTCAGCTGAAGCGCTTGATAAAAATGTCACCGGGTCCTTCCCTGATCGCGCTCGTGGGGCGGGACCGAGGAACCTGGTGTTACAGACCAGGGCCTTGGCAGGAAGAGAACACCCATTCTGTGGTGTTTCGGGAACCCATCAGGGTGCTCTTGGATTCGAACACCAGCCTCCATGGAGGAGGGCTCATCATAGGGGCACTGTGAGCCCGAGAGCAAGATCGGCCCCAGGACAAGGCCAGGGCCTCAGCGGGGTGAGCGTGGGCAGACCGTGGATGGCGGGCAGCCCCTGATGTGCGCTCAGGGTGTGTTTTATGGTAGAAGCGACATAAACAGAAAGATCCGGAAGGATAGCCACCGAAGTGAATGGATGGTGCTTCCAGGGTATGTGAGGGGAAGTTGACATGCTCATGCGCGAGAGAGAGGCCACCCCGGGTGTGCACCGCAGGGGCTGGCCCGTGGGCGTGGGGCCCTCGGGCAGCAGGGCCTCCCTCCTGGCCAGCCATGTCTGTCCCCGTGTCTCCCGCCCCCTCCCACCCCAGGAAGTGCAGGGGTGTTTCCGGGTTTGAGGGAGGGACGGGCAGCAGCTTTATTTGGGGCAGGCGCTGGCCCTGGGGCTAGGGCAGCGGGGCCCGGAGGAGGCCTCTCAGGGTGGTGCTCGAGCGCATGAGCCTGCGCATCCACTCGATGTACTGGGAGACCCTGGTGTACACCCCGAAGTGGCCCTCGTTCGCACAGCCCTCCCCCCAGCTGACGATGCCGGTCAGGTACCAGGTACCCTGGAACTTGGTGGCATGCGGGCCCCCACTGTCCCCCTGGCAGGCGTCCTTGCTTCCGTCCAGGTAGCCGGCACAGAACATGTTCTCGGTGATGGTGGGGGAGCCCTCCCGCCTGCGTGACTTCTCCTGGCAGTCCTGGGTCATCACCCGGGGCACGTCGATGGCCATGAGCTGGATGGCCGTGGCGCCCCTGTCCAGCAGCTGGCCCCAGCCACTGACAGTTGAGAAGCGGACAGAGGCCAGCGTCCTCTCGGAGAAGGCCTTCTCGGGCAGACACAGGGGCACCACGTGGTCGGTGAAGGTCACGGGCCTGCTCAGGTGCAGCAGGGCGATGTCATGGTTCGTCTTGCGGGGGATGTACTTGTCGGGGATGATGACCCGGGTTATGTGCCTCTCCTGCTCCTCACCCTCATCCTCGCCGAGGTCATACTCGCCTGCAGGGGACCAGCACCGCTCACGCCTTGCCCCACAGCCTCCTTTTGGGGCAGATGGGCACTGCGTCCAGCTCCAGGCTGGCGGGAGCAGCGCCCCTAGGCGGCCACCATAGGCTCGGTGCGGAGTGTGACTGGGGGTGAATCTGGGGTGCTGAGGGTGCGTGAGGAGGGGCTGCCGGGCCAGGCAGCTGTGGGTGGGTGAGGAGGGGTGCCCGATTGCCCCAGTCTTGCCCACCCCCTCCCCGGGGGTGCCCAGGATCCCATAGCCCACCAGGCGGAGGGCGCATGCCGTGACCCACGCGACCCGGGGGGCTCTTGGCCCAAGTGAGATGGGAGGAGAGCACCACCCCTGAGATGTTCCGTGGGTGGGACAGAGGCTGGGGGACCGTGGCCACGGGGGGACCTGGGGGCACTGGGGTCTGCCTGGACATGCTCATCTGGTTGTGGAAGCTGGTCCTGTTCACAAACCACTCTCAGCGGGTGGAGGAATCACAAAACCTACCCAATACCACGGTCAGGTTTCTCCAGTTCTTGACTGTTTCAAAGCAGTGAGCTGCAGAGACCACCCAGGCAGCGTCGAGGAGGGTGCCCCCACACAGCAGCGCCCCGTCCACCTTCAGGACAGCCTGCGCGGGCACAGTACACGGAGTTCACGGCCCCAGCACGCTTCCCTGGGGACCCGCCTCCCCAGCTAGCAATGGCCACGGAGAGCTCACGGACACCAGCCCGACCACGGGACGTGGCCACTGGTGCCCCCACGTGCCCAGCATCACCACCCAAGCCCGCCCCAGCAGGCCCGGTCTGCGAAGGCCGGCCCAGCGTCGTGTTCTGGGCACGTGGGGGCGAGAGGTAGTGAGCTGAGGCGCCCAGTGTGACTCTCAGCACACGGCAAGCCCTCCATACATGCCCCCGTTTCTTCTTCCTAAAAGCAAGGAGGGTGCTGAGCAGGGCCTGAGTGAGGCTCTGGGGAGACATTTGCCCTGCGGTGGTTTTGCCGCGGCCACGGAAGGAGCCGGAGCCTCTGGCCGGCCGGCCTGCAGACAGGGACGAACTGAAAGGCCAGAGGGAGGCCTGGCCGAGGGCGAGGCAGGGGCCCGCGTGTCGTGGTGAGGCGGATCCACCAGGGAGGAAAGAGACCGGACGTGGGGTCAGCGCGTCGGAGGCCTGATGTCCCGAGCGTGGACAGCAGGACCAAGGGTGTCAGGGACGTGCCGCCTCTTCCCCCGAGCCGGCAGCTGCTGGGCGCCTCGGAGGCCAGGCCTCCCGAGCAGGTGAGAACAGCCGCTTGGGGCTCGGGGACACGCCCCTGCCTGTTGAAGGCAGGACACCGGTGCCCGAAAATCAGCCTGGCTGACAACGGCTCTGCGCCACCCCTGGAGGGTGGGCTGGGCCTGAATCTCTGTGGGCCTCAGTCCCCCCCAACCCGCTAACACGGGCAAGGAGGCCCTCTCTCCTGGGGGTGGGGGTGAGTGGTACTGGGGGGTCCTGTGCGCGGGTGGGAGGACGTGCTTGCTGCGGCCGCCCAGACGGCCCTCCCAGGGCTCTCTGCTGTACACACAGAAACCCGCCCCCATCACCCCGCCCCTGCCGCACAGAGGCGCGGCCAGTTCCGGGCGCTCCGCGGAACACTGAACACGTCCGTCCCGTTCGGATGTGTCCAGCTCGCATTATCCCTCTGAACACCAAAACGCGGGGTTCTGCCAAGCTGAGGAGTGGGCCGTGGACCACGCAGGCCCCACGCAGGCCCGGCTACCGTGGGAGGTGGGATGGGGGTGCAGGCTGGCAGGCCGGCCCTGAGGCCCCTGAGGCAGCAGCAGAGTGGGAGGCCTGGGGCTGCTTTGAACCCGCGGTCAGGCCACGGTGAGCAGGGAGCCTCCAGCGTCCCCGACGAGGTTCTCGCACGTTGAAAACTCTTAACAGTTTACCTCGGGCGTCCCCCATGAAGGGTCCCGAGGACCCCTGGGTCGGGCTCGGACACCCGAGTGCGGCGCCGATTTTGGCCCAGTGGGGCTGGGGCCTGAGGCTCTGCATTTCCTACAGGAACCAGCCCACAGGTGGGCCCCCCCCCCCCCCCCCCCCGGTAGGAGGCCGTGTCGCAGCTCCAGAATCAGTTTCCGGAGGCAGATAGTGATGGGCTTGGGCTGGGTTCAAACCTGCCTGGGCCATCTGTCCCTGGAGGCCTCGGTTCCCTCACCTGCGGAGGGCAGTGAGGCCCGCAGCCGCGCGGGGCCGGGGGAGGCCGGAGCCGAGCTGACATCCGGACGGACAGAGGGGAGCAGGCAGCTGGGGCTTCACAAGGAGGAGCAAGTGCCCTGCACCAGCAGGGGAGACTTGGCGCCGGGGTCCAGCAGCTGACCGCCCCCTGTCCCTTTGGGGGCCCCGGAGCCTTACCTGCCACGGACACTCCCCTTTAGGGCACACTTGGCCACCCACAATTCGGCCTTGAGGGTTGCTGCCATTTCTCTTCTCCAGAACAGGTATTTTTCCACACGGATATTCCACTGTAGAAAGCAAGTCATCGGGCAGGGGCGTGAGGGGTTCATGCCTGACGATGAGCTTGTGGGGGTGGGCTCTGAGGGCCGCCCAGGCAGGGCCACCCGTGTGGGAGCTGCGGGGCCTGCAAGACCTGGGGCTCCTGCCGGAACAGAGGCTCCCCCCTCTGGAAGCTGGGCTCTGCTCGTTTCCCAGCGGAATGAAGCGCTGCCTAACTGACTGAGGAGGATGAGCAGGCCTTGGACAACGGCGCTGCCGTATGGAGGACACTCTGAGCTCTCGGTCTCCCCAGTAAGGTCCCTGGGCCGGAGGAGAGACCGTTCGGAGGTGGCAGCTGAACTTCGGGCTCTAGCCTGGGGGGGGCCCGTCTCTCTCTGGACAGACAGGCCTCGCGTGCCCCGCTGTTGGAACTGTATTAGCTTGAGACTGGTTTGGGGAAACTTTGCATTTTCCTAACAGTGCTTGCCTTTCAGAAAGACCTGGACTCTGGACTGAGCCGCAGTCAGTACCACGCTGGGTGCGGCGATGTGCCCCCAGCTCAGGGACCTGCGGCGGGGCGGGCAGAGCCTCGCTCTGCTCCTCTGGGCCTGCCGTGAGCAGGCAGGTGGCCCCGCGCCCTCCAGGGAGCTGCCCCAGGGCTCTGTCCTGCGCACGCCACCGTGGCCTGTTCTCGAGTGGGCGTGGGCGGGGCAGCAGGTACTAGATCCATCCCACCCTCTCGTCCCTGCCAAGACGGCTGCGGCCATGCAGCAACGGGTGGCTGCTCCTTGGGAAGGAAGTAGAGCACAGCCCCTGGGGCTGGGCCCTGAGGGCCCATTACCTGTGGGCACGCAGGACACCCCGTTGTCTTGGAGCGCGTACCCCTCGTGGCAGCGGCAGGAGCGCCCGGCCTCGACGTGGTCACTGCAATACTGCTCACAGCCGCCATTCTCATTCACACAGACCAGCAGGTCCTTCTTGTCTGAGGACAGGAAGGGGACAGACTGAGAGGGGCCCCTGCCGGCCAGGGGGAGGCCAGCCCCCGCTCTGCATGACTGTGGTGCTTAGCTGCTGCTGCAGGGACAGCCAGGTACCAGCTGGCTCTGTGCTTTCATCCAGAAGGGTGACCTGGGCTTGGGATGGTCCCACGTCTGAGCAGCTTAGCCAGCCGGGACAGAGGACTGGCACGTGGGGCCTCCGTGCTCCCCTCCCAGCAGTTGGTGGGAGCGGGGAGGGCCCAGGGAAACCAAAAGGCCGGTGGGGGCAGTAAAAGTGTCCACTGAGAGGGGAGACCTGCTGGCAAGAGGCCAGGCAGATGAGCTGGTTCTACAGCCAGACCCTCCTGCCCCCGTGAGCTGGCCGGGACTGACCACTGGCTCAGACAGATGGAGATGAGGAACATTCCTCCCGACTCGGAAGGGCAATGCTACAATGTGGGACACAGGGTTAGCTCACTGTGTCTGTCCAGGACCCCAGAAGGAAGGCTTGGCCTGGAAGTGAGTTCACACCAGGGCTCCTGAGGTTCACGGTCCTGGGGGACTCACACCAGGGCTCCTGAGGTTCACGATCCTGGGGGACTCACACCAGGACTGCTGAGCATCATGGTCCTGGAGGACTCACACCAGGGATCCTGAGCATCACAGTCCTGGGGGACTCATACCAGGGATCCTGAGCATCACGGTCCTGGGGGACTCACACCAGGGATCCTGAACATCATGGTCCTGGGGAATTCACACCAGGACTGCTGAGCACCATGGTCCTGGAGGACTCACACCAGGGATCCTGAGCGTCATGGTCCTGGAGGACTCACACCAGGGATCCTGAGCATAAAAGGCCAGGCAAAGACACTGAGGCTTTCCAACCCCAGATAACTGACAGAAGCCTCATCCCTTGGTTTTGCCTTTCCTCTCCCTGGCCTCTGGTTTGCTTAGAGTGGAAGGTGGTTGTGACCCAGAAAAGCACTTTGGGTATAAGAATGTACATTTGTATGGTAAAGGATTGAACTCGCCCAAAGAGCTCCTAGGCGGTGACCTCCACACCCTGGCTGGTGAGGTTGGACACTTTTAATTTAATCTGCCTGATAAGAATGTTGTTTCCCTGGGGGCTTTGGCCCGTACTGGATGTCTAACAATGTGATTCATGGTGGGGTCTTGGGCCACACAGTGTCACCTCCACCTCTGGAGGGGCTGGAGACTAAGGTCAGCCATGTCTACATGACTGAGCCCGGTACAGTCTCTGGATAAGGTGCTTCCTGGGGTGGTGGTGACACTCCCTAGGTCTCGTCACACATTGTTCTTGGAGAATGGAAGGCTGTCCGTGGTACTTCACTGGGAGAGGACAATGGGAAGCTCATACCTGTCCCTCTGCTGACTTTATTCTGTATCCTTCCACTGTAATAAGCTGTAATTTTGAGTATATCTGATGGTCTGAGGAACCCCTGAGCTTTGCAATACTTTAATATTTGAAAGGTGAAAAAATACCTCACAGTTTTGTAAAGCAGGAAGGGAAGACACAGCTTTCCTAGCTGTCTCGACTGGAAGCTGGGCAGCCCTGCAGAGCCCTCACTGGGCTCTCTCCAGGTGTATCTGAATCTCCCAGCACTGGGAACCCAAGGGTTTTAGGATTCCCAGAAGTGGATAGGGGGCGACCAAGTTTGAGAACCAGCACCTTAGAACCAAGACTCTCGTGTTGGCGGGGGAGCAGGCCATGCCCATCAGCCTGCTGGGGGCTCTGTCTGCAAACTGTGGGGTTCCTCACTTGTCTCACAGTTCCGGCCCTGGAAACCGTCGAGGCAGAAGCAGATGTAGGACTGGAGCTGGTCCTCACAGGTGCCTCCATTCCGGCACGGGTTCGAGGCACATTGGTCCCCATCTGTGGAGAGCGTCAGTGTCAGTATGCTGAGGAGAGGGGCTGGTGGGTGGGATGAAAATGGGCCATTTACCAACTCACCAGTGTAAGAAATCCAGAACCGCTTCTGAGGGAACAAGAGGAAGCAGTGTGAGACACGTTCACCAGAAGCAAATACGTATGGTGTCCACAGACTGGACTTGGGAGCTGGGGTGAACGGTGGTGGGCCGGGGGCTTCTGACCTGGGGCCCTTTGAGGTGGGCTCTGGAAGCCAGACTTTTCCTTTGGGGATGAAGTGAGTTTTTCCAGGGGGAGGAAGTTTTTTCTAATCCTATCCCCTCCACCCCAGTTCGCTAAGACCACCAGAGGTCACAAATTTCCCTCTCCGAATTCAGAATTCCTGAGTTTCAGCCCCAACTCTGCCACCTCCACGATGTGAACTTGGGACAGGACATACGTGCTCTCTGAGCCTCCATTTCCGCCTCTGGTGATGAGGAGGAAATCCATACACATGTGTGACAGGAGAAGGCGGCAATGGATGCAAAGGGCTCTAACAAATTTATTCCTGAGGAATCTTCTGGCCAAGCAAACTGAAACCCAGGATTACCGTAAGAATAAAATAACATGAGAACTGTGGGACATGCGTTGAAAAACCAAGTAGTGCACAAATGCAAGGAGTGACCATCCTCAATGTACCTGAAAAGGGTCATGTTAGCCTCTGTCTCAAGTAGCCTTGCTTCCTGTTGAGTGTGAAGTGTGTCCCATGAGTGTGAGGTGTCCTATGAGTGTGAGGTGTCCTGTGGGTGTGAAGTGGTGTCCTGTGAGTGTGAGGTGTCCTGTGGGTGTGAAGTGGTGTCCTGTGGGTGTGAGGTGTCCTGTGAGTGTGAGGTGGTGTCCTGTGAGTGTGAGGTGTCCTGTGGGCGTGAGGTATCCTGTGGGCGTGAGGTGGTGTCCTGTGGGTGTGAAGTGGTGTCCTGTGGGTGTGAGGTGTCCTGTGAGTGTGAGGTGGTGTCCTGTGAGTGTGAGGTGTCCTGTGTGTGTGAGGTGTCCTGTAGGTGTGAGGTGGTGTCCTGTGGGTGTGAAGTGTCCTGTGAGTGTGAAGTGGAGTCCTGTGAGTGCGAGGTGATGTCCTGTGAGTGTGAGGTGTCCTGTGGGTGTGAGGTGTCCCGTGAGTGTGAGGTGGTGTCCTGTGGGTGTGAGCTGTCTTGTGGGTGTGAGGTGGTATCCTGTGGGTGTGAGGTGTCCTGTGGGTGTGAAGTGGTGTCTTGTGAGTGTGAAGTGTCCTGTGAGTGTGAGGTGTCCTGTGAGTGTGAAGTGGTGTCCTGTGGGTGTGAGGTGTCCTGTGAGTGTGAGGTGTCCTGTGAGTGTGAAGTGGTGTCCTGTGAGTGTGAAGTGGTGTCCTGTGAGTGTGAGGTGTCCTGTGAGTGTGAGGTGGTGTCCCATGAGTGTGAGGTGTCCTGTGAGTATGAGGTGTCCTGTGAGTGTGAAGTGGATCCTGTGAGTGTGAGGTGTCCTGTGAGTGTGAGGTGTCCTGTGAGTGTGAAGTGGTGTCCTATGAGTGTGAGGTGTCTTGTGGGTGTGAGGTGTCCTGTGGGTGTGTGGTGTGTGTCCTGTGAGTGTGAGGTGTCCTGTGAGTGTGAAGTGTCCTGTGAGTGTGAGGTGGTGTCCTGTGGGTGTGAGGTGTCCTGTGAGTGTGAAGTGGTGTCCTGTGGGTGTGAGGTGTCCTGTGAGTGTGAGGTGATGTCCTGTGAGTGTGAGGTGTCCTGTGGGTGTGAAGTGTCCTGTAGGTGTGAGGTGGTGTCCTGTGGGTGTGAAGTGGTGTCCTGTGAGTGTGAGGTGTCCTGTGAGTGTGAGGTAATGTCCTGTGAGTGTGAGGTGTCCTGTGGGTGTGAGGTGTCCTGTGAGTACGAAGTGATGTCCTATGAGTGTGAGGTGTCCTGTGAGTGCGAGGTGATGTCCTGTGAGTGTGAGGTGATGTCCTGTGAGTGTGAGGTGTCCTGTGAGTGTGAGGTGATGTCCTGTGAGTGTGAGGTGATGTCCTGTGGGTGTGAGGTGTCCTGTGAGTGTGAGGTGATGTCCTGTGGGTGTGAGGTGTCCTGTGAGTGTGAGGTGTCCTGTGAGTGTGAAGTGTCCCGTGAGTGTGAGGTGTCCCGTGAGTGCGAGGTGATGTCCTGTGAGTGTGAGGTGTCCTGTGGGTGTGAAGTGTCCTGTGGGTGTGAGGTGTCCTGTGAGTGTGAAGTGTCCTGTGAGTGTGAGGTGATGTCCTGTGAGTGTGAGGTGATGTCCTGTGGGTGTGAGGTGTCCTGTGAGTGTGAGGTGATGTCCTGTGAGTGTGAGGTGATGTCTTGTGAGTGTGAGGTGTCCTGTGAGTGTGAAGTGTCCTGTGAGTGTGAGGTGTCCTGTGAGTGCGAGGTGATGTCTTGTGAGTGTGAGGTGTCCTGTGAGTGTGAAGTGTCCTGTGAGTGTGAGGTGTCCTGTGAGTGCGAGGTGATGTCCTGTGAGTGTGAGGTGTCCTGTGGGTGTGAGGTGTCCTGTGAGTACGAAGTGATGTCCTATGAGTGTGAGGTGTCCTGTGAGTGCGAGGTGATGTCCTGTGAGTGTGAGGTGATGTCCTGTGAGTGTGAGGTGTCCTGTGAGTGTGAGGTGATGTCCTGTGGGTGTGAGGTGTCCTGTGGGTGTGAGGTGTCCTGTGAGTGTGAAGTGTCCTGTGAGTGTGAGGTGTCCCGTGAGTGCGAGGTGATGTCCTGTGAGTGTGAGGTGTCCTGTGGGTGTGAAGTGTCCTGTGGGTGTGAGGTGTCCTGTGAGTGTGAAGTGTCCTGTGAGTGTGAGGTGATGTCCTGTGAGTGTGAGGTGATGTCCTGTGGGTGTGAGGTGTCCTGTGAGTGTGAGGTGATGTCCTGTGAGTGTGAGGTGATGTCCTGTGTGAGGTGTCCTGTGAGTGTGAAGTGTCCTGTGAGTGTGAGGTGTCCCGTGAGTGCAAGGTGATGTCCTGTGAGTGTGAGGTGTCCTGTGGGTGTGAAGTGTCCTGTGGGTGTGAGGTGTCCTGTGAGTGTGAAGTGTCCTGTGAGTGTGAGGTGATGTCCTGTGAGTGTGAGGTGATGTCTTGTGGGTGTGAGGTGTCCTGTGAGTGTGAGGTGATGTCCTGTGAGTGTGAGGTGATGTCCTGTGAGTGTGAAGTGTCCTGTGAGTGTGAGGTGTCCTGTGAGTGTGAGGTGTCCTGTGAGTGTGAGGTGTCCTGTGAGTGCGAGGTGATGTCCTGTGAGTGTGAGGTGTCCTGTGAGTGTGAGGTGTCCTGTGAGTGTGAAGTGTCCTGTGAGTGTGAGGTGTCCTGTGAGTGCGAGGTGATGTCCTGTGAGTGTGAGGTGTCCTGTGAGTGTGAGGTGTCCTGTGAGTGTGAAGTGTCCTGTGAGTGTGAGGTGTCCTGTGAGTGCGAGGTGATGTCCTGTGAGTGTGAGGTGTCCTGTGAGTGTGAGGTGATGTCCTGTGAGTGTGAGGTGATGTCCTGTGAGTGTGAAGTGTCCTGTGAGTGTGAGGTGTCCTGTGAGTGTGAAGTGTCCTGTGAGTGTGAGGTGTCCTGTGAGTGCGAGGTGATGTCCTGTGAGTGTGAGGTGTCCTGTGAGTGCGAGGTGATGTCCTGTGAGTGAAGTGTCCTGTGAGTATGAGGTGTCCTGTGAGTGTGAGGTGTCCTGTGGGTGTGAGGTGTCCTGTGGGCGTGAGGTGGTGTCCTGTGAGTGTGAGGTGTCCTGTGGGCGTGAGGTGTCCTGTGAGTGTGAGGTGTCCTGTGAGTGCGAGGTGATGTCCTGTCAGTGTGAGGTGTCCTGTGGGTGTGAGGTGTCCTGTGAGTGCGAGGTGATGTCCTGTGGGTGTGAGGTGTCCTGTGAGTGTGAGGTGATGTCCTGTGAGTGTGAAGTGTCCTGTGAGTGTGAAGTGTCCTGTGAGTGTGAGGTGTCCTGTGAGTGTGAGGTGTCCTGTGAGTGTGAAGTGTCCTGTGAGTGTGAGGTGTCCTGTGAGTGCGAGGTGATGTCCTGTGAGTGTGAGGTGTCCTGTGAGTGCGAGGTGATGTCCTGTGAGTGTGAGGTGTCCTGTGGGTGTGAAGTGTCCTGTGAGTGTGAGGTGTCCTGTGGGTTTGAGGTGTCCTGTGAGTGTGAGGTATCCTGTGGTGTGAGGTGTCCTGTGGGCGTGAGGTGGTGTCCTGTGGGTGTGAGGTGTCCTGTGGGCGTGAGGTGTCCTGTGAGTGTGAGGTGTCCTGTGAGTGCGAGGTGATGTCCTGTCAGTGTGAGGTGTCCTGTGGGTGTGAAGTGTCCTGTGAGTGTGAGGTGTCCTGTGGGTTTGAGGTGTCCTGTGAGTGTGAGGTATCCTGTGGTGTGAGGTGTCCTGTGGGCGTGAGGTGGTGTCCTGTGGGTGTGAGGTGTCCTGTGGGCGTGAGGTGTCCTGTGAGTGTGAGGTGTCCTGTGAGTGCGAGGTGATGTCCTGTCAGTGTGAGGTGTCCTGTGGGTGTGAGGTGTCCTGTGAGTGTGAGGTGATGTTCCGTGGGTGTGAGGTGTCCTGTGAGTGTGAGGTGTCCTGTGAGTGTGAAGTGATGTCCTGTGGGTGTGAGGTGTCCTGTGAGTGTGTGGTGTGTTTCCTGTGGTGTGAGGTGTGTGGCCCGTGGGTGAGGTGTATGTCCCCTGCGAGGTGAGTGTCTTGTAAGCGGGAGACGTCCCGTGAGGGGAAGTGTGGTTTCGTCTCCTCAGCATCTGAGGGGCGCCCCCGCCCAAGGAGCTGGAAGGGCTGTGGTACAAGTGAATGTTCCTCTTTGAGGAGCGAGAAGAGCAGCGAGCCCTCTCTCGGCATCGGGCCCCGCGCATGTGGAGGCCGTGGCGGCTCCCTAAGTCTCCTCACACCAGTTGTCCCGAGGCGGCGTCCGCAGGCGGGCGCTGCTGTGAGGGGCTCGCCCAGGCGCGGGTCTCCGAGGTGGGCTCTGTCAGCGGCGCCTCCCCAAAGCACGGGCACTTTGGGGCTCGGGGACCTTCCCTGGGGAGGCACGGGACACGTGGAGCGCGCCGTTCACACTGGATTTTCTGAGGCCGAGTTGGGGCGCCCGGCGTGGCAGCGAGGGGGACGCCCCTGGGAGCGGGCGGGCGGCCGGGGCGTCGCAGGAGCGCCGACCGACCCGAGGGCAGCTGTCCTCAGGCCCGGGGGACCGGGCGCCTGCGGGAGCCCTGGCCGCACCCGCGCAGGGAGCCTGGGCGCGCGCCCCTGCCGGGCGGACTCACCGTCCTCTCGGCGTCCTGGAAGATCTCCCTGGCCTCCTCGAAGGAGCAAAGCTCCTCCCTGCACTCCCTCTCCAGGGAGCTGGGCCTCAGCTCCTCCAGGAACAGGTTGGCGCGCCTCTGCCTGCGCAAGACGCCGTGGGCCTCCTCCTGGGTGAGGAACACTGAGAGGTGGGGTCCCGTGAGCCCCGACACCGCCGCGCGGCGTGTCCCGCCGGGTCGCGGCTCAGGGCTCCCGGGCCGGCCGCAGCAGCGAGGCAGCTCTGAGTGCGAGCGTGGGACACTCCTTCGCTATCTTCTACCGTCACCCACTCGTCCCTTCTGGCCCGGTCGCCACCCCACGGAAGGCCTCCGAGGCGGGCACGCAGACCTCGCGGGAAGGAGAGCCTGGCCACACGATCTGAGCCAGTCCGTGACGGCGTCCCCCGCGCCATGAAACGTAATATTAAATGAAATGAGATAATCAAATCACACATACTGTTAATAAAATGTAAAAATGCACATATATATGCAGATGTAACTTAGTGAAAGAATGTACATAAAAAAATTAACTTTGGGGATTAAAATTCATTCTGTTTCAAAACGTGTACAATCAACTTCTATAATGAAAATATGCGTCCGCTGTGTCCTAGCAGCTGGGACGTTGTGTGGCAAGTGGGATGACTGCGCGGGGGTCCCACCAGGGACTGGGGGGCGGCTCCGCTGGAGGTGAGGCTGCTGTGGCCAGGCGGGAGGAGCCAGGAGAGGCCTGCCGGGCGCGGTGGCAGGGAGAGGGGTCTCTCGCACCCGGGCCATCCTCCCCAGCTCTCCCCGAGCTCCAGCCCGTCCCTGGGGCTCGCTGTCCCCCCGCCCCGCCAACCCGGACCCTCGCTCTGCTTTACCACAGCCTCCCCTTCCTTTTTTTTTTTTTTTTTTTTAAGATTTTATTTATTTATTTGAGAGAAAGAATGAGCTAGAGCATGAGAGGGGGAGGGTCAGAGGGAGCAGCAGACCCCCTGCTGAGCAGGGAGCCGGATGTGGGACTCGATCCCAGGACTCCAGGATCATGACCTGAACCGAAGGCAGTCGCCCAACCGACTGAGCCACCCAGGCGCCCCAGCCTCTCCCTCTTCGAAAGCATGTTCCTGGCCTTCCATGGAGATGCTTACACTGACTTCTGTGTCCAGTGTAAGCAAAGCCACCCAGGACCCCTGCTTCGGAGCAGTGCAGGCTCCTCGGGGGCCTTTCTTGGTGGCAGGAGGCCTGCTGATGCTGTCTGGCCGCCGGGGGCCTTCCTGGGTCCTCTTCCCCGGGTCCTCCTCTCCACTCTTTGCTGCCAGCCCTTGACTTTTGATATCCTTCAGGGTTGGGTTTCCTTTCTAAAGATGCTCAAGCCAGGCACCCCACTTCCACTTCAGCCCTCCCTCAAACCACCAGAAGCTGCATATGTCCCCGAGCCCCAGGTCTCTAGAGGCCACCTCCCTGCAAGCCGAGGGACCCCCGCGCACAGCCACCCCGTGGGCCTGGCCTCCCCACCTCCGCCCCACCGGGCCTGCTTTTCCCATCCTCGTCCCGCCTTGGTGAACGGCTCTGCTCCCTCCCCAGAGTATCTGAGCTCTCGCAGCCAGCTCTGCCCTGAGCTCTGTGCACCTGCCCCCACGACCCCAGCTCAGGGGCTTGTGCGTCCTTGGGTCCCCTCTCCAGGCCCTGGCCTGCTGCCTCCTTCCAGCTTCTCACAGTGACCCCGGTAGCTTCTTGCAGGTAGCTGTCCCCCATTTTGCTGATGAGGAACAGGGTGGGTGGGGTTTAGAGCTCACCCAAGGCCACTCAGGTGGGGAATGGGGCCAGTTTGAACACCTTGGATTTGAGGTTTCTTTAGGACACCCAGGCAGACATGCAGACTACGTCATCCTAAGAGAGGACAGGGTGACGGAGACGAGGACACTGAGGTTGGTGACAACCATACAGAGACCGAGGCTGAGGCTGGGAAAGCCCCCGGGGCCCCCGGGGCAGACTGCACCACTGGGGGTGGGCTGTGTGAGAGCAGCTGGGCTGCAAGAGGGGATGGGCAGGGTGGGAGCAAAGCCAGGACTGAGGGGCAGGAGCAAGGGGGAAACTGAGTCCCAGAGGAGAGGTGAGTGCAGCCTGGAGACCCGCGGACTCGGCTTCCGGGAAGGAAGGGCTGTGTCCGGTGGGGAGGCTTCGCAGGAGGGGGCGGGGCAAGGGCGAGGGGCAGCTCCCAGGCCGCGAGGCCGAGGCCGAGGGGACCACCTCTCTGCTTTACAATGACGGCGTTTCGTGGGTGTGTATTCCTGGGGAGCCCGCCTGGTCTGGAAGGAGAGGTTGAGGGAAACCCAAGAACTCAAGGGTTGGGGGGTGCTTACACCCACCGGAGGCGCCCAGAGTGGGGACGTCTACCCTCTCTACCCTCGGAGGACAGCAAATGTGCACCCGACAGCCCTCGGGAGCCAGAGGCAAGTCTGATAATTGTGGGCAATCAGTGAAAGCCGGGCGGGGCGGGGGACGATCCTGGCCAGCACTGTCTTCCTGCCCTGAGGAAGGATAAAGCAGCCCTGCCCTTGCCAGAGCCGAGGTGCTGTCCTTTGGGCGCCTGCAGGAATCGGGCCGGCGCCCCGTCCCGTCCCGTCCCGGGCTAGCTGCTGGTGTGGGACAGTGTCTGTGTGGTGACCACGGCCGCCCTGCCGGACCTGCAAGTCTCCAAGGGACCGCTTATAAAGCACGTCCCTCTATCTCCGTCTTTTGGCCCCTCAGCGCCGTGGTGGCGGGGAGGTGTCTGCGGTCACAGCCGTGTCCCTACCCTGTCCCTGGCACTGGCCAACTGAGAACCAGGAGAGCAGAGCGGGAGGGGGGCATCCCAGCCCGCACCCCTGAGCCGGGATCCTGGGTGCAGACCACATGGGAGCCGCTGGCCACGGCAGTGTCCACCACGAGGTGGGCCGTGGGAGGTGTGGGTGTCAGTGGCCGCTCACACAGGTTTACAGGACCCCTCCACCCTGACATACCTGCGGCCAGAGACCCCTGCAGGCCCAGGAGAAGGCAGAGGACGGCCAGCTCACCCGCCCGGGAAACCATGGTGAGATGGGTGGCGTCACACGGTCTGATGACATTCCGACGGGGGGTGGTGGGCAAAGTCCTGGCCTCCACGCAGGGCAGAGAGGTGGGGGAGGGAGGACTCGCCTCCCAAACCCAGGGGGCGGGGCGGCGCGAGGCCCCTGCCGGGAAGCCCCCGGTCCCTCCAGCACAGCTGTGTCTGCGGAGCGGGGGCTCCTGCAAGGAGATGGCAGTGTTGGGATCTGCATCGGCCGCGTGCACCTCAAGTGCCGTTGGGAACCCTGAGGCCCCCGGGACTTAGCGCGGCAGCTGGCCCCAGAATGGACGTGGGTGGAAAGCCGCGCCACGGTAGTAACTCCGGGGAGAGAGAGGATCTGGGGTGTGGACGTGAGTACTCTCAAGAGGGCGGCTGCGGACACCTAGCCCGGGGGCCTGGCTTCCTGGGTGACCAGAGAGCCTCGTGGGGATGACCAGGAGGAGGGGCGCCTGCCGTCCCGGGCCCAGGCCGCCAGCTGGAGTGACCCTCCGTCCAGGGTTGGCGGGCATGGAGGGCTTTCTCAGGATGCCAGGCTTCCTGTCCCGACCAGGACCGTCCTGAGCCCCCGGCACTGTCGGTTACCCCAACCGGACTGACATGGGAACCCTGAAGCCCCCGGGGGGGCCCCTCCGCTGCGGCCACTGTGACTACAGCACTAGGAATCTGTCCTCTGCCAGTTCTGAAGGCCACAGGTCCTGGAGCCAAGTGTCTGTGGCAGGGCCTTGCTCCCTCCAGAGGCTCGAGGAGGGCACCTGCCTGCCCCTTCCCGCTGGCCCCTGCGTCTGCATCTCGAAGTTCCGTGGGCGGCAGGCGGCTCCTCGTCCGGGGCACCTGCAGACACCGCACTCCCATCCCGGCCTCGGCTGGCACATGGCCTCGCCGCTGGGTGTCCGTGCCCATCTCCTTACAGAGACACCGTCCATCCTTGGGTCGGGGCTCCTACTCAGGCTCACTCATCTAACCAGCCACAGCAGCAAGGCTTCTGCTGCCGGGCGAGGCTGCGTTCCGGGTTTCTGGGTGATGCAAACATAGGGAAGGCTCTCAGCCCGTGTCCATGCTCCTCTTGAGCGGACTGGAGCTGAGGCTGTTGTCAGAGCAGTGGCGTCTGGTTGCAGACTCGGGGCGACTGGCCGGGAGGTGCAGGAAAGGGACGTTCCTTCTCTGACTGCCCAAAGCTGAGGGGAACAGGATTTCGTGGGCAGCACCTGCCGGACAGCAGAGGTCCGTGTGGGTTTGGGACACGCGCTGGACTGAGCCCTTGAGTCCAGGGGTGGCGTGGGTCCTCCGGGGAGGTGGGGGACAGCACAGGCCAGTGGGGGATGTGGCCTTCTGTCCATGAAGGACAGCAAGCGCAGGCAGGGAGCAGTCCTACCCCAGGCCCCGGTCGGTGAGCAGAAGCAGAATGGGGCAGCCCCAGGGCTCGCTGGCATCAGAGAGCTAGGCTCAGGGAGCAGGAGACCCCCACCCGGACCCTACACCACAGCCACACAGTCCACTGAGCAAGGCAGGCCCCAACAACAGTGCAGGGTTGGGTCTGAGCCTGGGGCCCAGGCCGCGGGTCCGCAGAGGGCTCCCGGGAGGTCAGTGTTTGCTACATCTCTGTTCCGGTCTTTACTTCCAGCCCTTGTGCGATTTGGTTGTGCGGTGTCTTTTAGCAATTATCTGTTGCATCTGGTTTGATCCCCTCCCGACTGGTCGGCTTAGCAAGATTCTGGGGTGTGGGTGAGCGCAGCTCTGACCGGCCTCCGTGACTCCTTGCTTCCGTGGGTCACGCCTCCCTCCCCACCACTGTCCCTTCTGCCCCCGGACCCTCCTGGCTCAGAAGCCATCTCTTGGACTCTTGTTCCAACATAGTGATTTCACCATTTCTCTTGTTATCTTTACACTGTGGATACAATATGCGTGTTATTCTATTTCCATCATCTTCTGACAAAATGAAGCGTATGGGACATCTTCTGGGTCAAGCTCAGTGCCTGCCTCATTTCTCATGGGAGCTCGAGGTGCTGGGTGGACGTACGTGAGCACGATAAACACACGGCGCGTGAGGAATTCTGTGCAGACAGCGAGAGGGGCTGATATTTATTCAAATTCCATCCACACAATAAAGAACTCTGATTTTTAAATTTCATTTACATCAGCAGAAAAAAAAAAAAAAAGACCTGAAACGAAACAAGAAGCAGTGACGGGACGGGAGGTTTTAAAGTGCCTTAACGAAGATGGGCCCCCAGCGGTGGTGACGTGGCCGAGGCGGCAGGGGTGGACTCTGGACGAGCTGCGTGCGGAGTAAACTGTCAGACACGTCATGGTCTCACGACCGGACACCGAGGAAAGCTGCTGGGACGCACTGCAGAGGTGGGCCGGTGGGGGCCTCGTGGGCGGTGGGCATGGCGGGCGCGGGGCACAGGGAGGGCTGTGAAGTGACAGTTTCCAGCATCGCGGGGGCCGTGGTGCGTCCCTGACACGGGACACCTACGTACACACACCCACATATGCACACGAATAAAAATATCTGCCCCCACCAGATACAGACGGTGTTTCCAAAGAACAGAATTTGTTTCCGAAACACAAAAAGGTAAAACGCAAGAGTTTTCTTTCTGGTTCTGCCTCGGTTTCAGTAATGAACTCCTTGCGTTTCCAAGCTCGGGGGGTTTACCGAGTGCGGGAGGTGGTGGCGGAACCCGCCGGAGGCTGGCGCTTCTACCCAGCCCGCGTGGGTAGCGCTCGCTCAGAGGGTACCCCACAAAAACCGCATCTTTACTTATTCTTTAAAAACAATAAAAAATCCTAATTCAGTGAAGCTAGGTAAAAAAATCAAGTTCCATTTTTTTTTGTAGAAAAGAAGCTAAATATTTTAAATTATAGTTTAAATTTTCTTTTGAAAATTAACCTACACAGATAAGGGACTCTCCTTGGTTTCCACTGCCTCTGTTTGTAGAAACGCTGCTGGATTTTATTGGGGGCGTGTGTTCACCCGCCTGTGGCCAGGCGGGCCTTGGCGAGGGCTTCCGTCCCCACGAGAGCCCCCAAATCTCCCAGCAGTATAAACAACGTGCTGTCATGTAAACCCCGGTAACAGAAAATAGTTTTGTATCAAATTGTCATTTCATGTAAACACAGTGATTCTTGGTAAAGATTAGTGGCCAGAGTACCACAAAAAATGGCCATGGAATTAATCCCTGCTTTAAAAAAAACTTGTAAAAGACAAAACAGTCCCCCCACCAAGCTGCTGGGTCAGTGGACTCGTCACTCCCACGACGTGCCTATTCCTGCAGGAAGCACCAGACCAGAAATGCCCGGAACCACGCAGAGCGGCTGGGACGGGCTCCTCGCGGCGGCCTGGTGCCCTCGGTCCATCCTGGTTTTCCTGGAAAGCTCAGTGCAACTCTGTCTTCGTGCAACTGGCTTCTGCACCCTCATCGGGGGTGGTCCTGGCGTGGAGGCCGCAGGGCAGAATCTTCCAGAACCTTCCCTCTGCGGGCCCCTGCGTCTGCACCTTGAGGTTCCGGGGGCGGCAGGTGGCTCCTCGTTGGGGTCTTGTCCGGGTCCTCCTTCCCCAGGCTCTTAGAGCACCGTCCCCTCACCAAACTAAGCAAGCCCAAGCAAAGGAAAACTTAGAGGCTCGCAGGCCGCACGGCCTCCTGCGGGGCCCGGCGCTACCCCTGGAGGTCTGAGAGGGGGGCCCCACAGCTCTCGCTGCAGCTGGAGGAGGTGCTCAGCAGGGCGGACCCCGCACTGGACTCTGCGGGAAAACCAGGCAAGAACGGCTGCGGCTGCGTGTCTGCATGCTCAAGCTCACGGCTGTGGAACCCCGCGGGCTCGGGGCGCGGCCCGTGTGGGCCGGGGGTCTTACCTGAGCTGCTCAGGCACTGAGCCGAGCCGGACGTGCTGAGGAGGGTGGACAGACTGCTGGCCGGCACCCAGCTCTCCTTGCTGGAGGTCAGGTTCCTGACATACCTGAAAGGGGCGTGGGCCGTCAGGGCTCCAGCCATGTGCCCCCCGCCCCCCCCGGGCGTCCTGGGCCTGAGCCCACTGCAGGCATCTTACCAAAGGCCCTCGTCGCCCTCGTGGACCACCTCCACCACGTCCCCACTTCTCACGGCAAGCGCGTCGGGGCTTTCCTTCTCGTCGCCCGTCACGACCGTGTACTTTCCTGGGACCTGGTGGCGGAGGAGGCGGCGCATCAAAGGGGACAGTCCGCGGCCCCCACACCGAGCGAGGCCGCAGTGGCTGTCTGCCGCAGCCAAGGTCCCAGGGGGGCGTCCAGCAACAGAAGGACAACGAGCATTTCGTCAGGGCCCTGCTGTTTGTGGGGCTTTTGATGGGACTGTCACCTTAAATGGGAAGAGCTCCTGGTCGTAAGAAGATGCCAAGTCTCTCACTGCCACCGTGTTAAAAACCCAACCAACCGGTATAGTGCCCCTGGCTCACGGCTGGTGGTCTGGCCTCAAACACAGCCCTCCGCCCCAGGACCTCGGCACCTGCCGTCCCCTCCTCATGGCACGACCTCCCCTTCCTTGGCTCCCATCCTCACCTAACACGCCCGCCTGTATTTGACCACCTTTTACTTTGTTTCCCTGTGAGAGTGGAGACTGTGTCTTTTGTTCTCTGCTCTGTTTGGTGTCTAGACTGCCTGGCACCCAGTGTCTGCTCAGCACGTTCACACGGACGAAGCGCTGCCGTGTGGAGCCCTGGAGCTTGGACCAGGACAGCGCCAGGTGTGCACTAAGTATCTGTCAGCGTAACCCCACTCTGACGGTTCATGCGTAAATGGCTTCTCCTTGCAGCTTGTGTTAAAGAAAGGGCCTGTTGGGCGCCGGGGTGGCTCAGTCGGTTAAGCGACTGCCTTCAGCTCGGGTCATGATCCTGGAGTCCCGGGATCGAGTCCCGCATCGGGCTCCCTGCTCGGCGGGGAGTCTGCTTCTCCCTCTGACCCTCCCCCCTCTCATGTGCTCTCTCTCTCTCATTCTCTCTGTCTCAAATAAATAAAATCTTTAAAAAAAAAGGGGGGGCCTGTTTAGACCCCAAATCCGCATTCGAACAGTTGAGCTCTCCAAAAAGTGAGGGAGAGCCGTACGCACAGCTTTGCGGATGGTCCTAAGGGCATCCTCCTTGTCTGGAGGGCAAATCAGGTGTGTGCGAGAGAGCCTGTCTGCTGGGAGCCTGACGGTGGAGGAGGGTGGGCACCACCACGGTCGCACTCTGGAGCTCTCCCACCCAGGAGCCCGCGGTGCCGGGCTGACCACCCCGGGGGACCCAAGGTTACCAGCTTCCTGGGGCCCACTCTGCCTTCCTCCTCTGCGTCTGAGGAATTAATCAGCTCTTCGGCACTGGACCAGCCGTCGTTGTCCTCAGGGGCCTCCAAGGGCTGAGACGTTTTGCTCCAACCTGAGAGAGAACAGACTCCAGTGAGGACCACCCTCAACCGCAAGCCTGTCTGAAGGTGGTCCGCACAATTCCCGCCACCCTGCAACGTGCGCCCGGAGGGGCCTGCCCCCTGGAGCGGGACACACGGCGGACTTCCAGAACGCCTGCTGACACACGTGTCCCCACTGTGCACCGTCCGGGGAGGCCCCGAGCACCGGCGAGCGTCGCCAGCCCAGCCCAGGGGAGGCAGCGAAACCAGCCCTCAGGGAGGTGATCCTGCAGGCTCTGCCGCGATGCCCTGCAGACCCAGGGAGCACAGAGCCCTGAATGTCACCAGTCGGAGACGTCACTACCCATCCGTGTTGGAACAAACACCCCCAGAGGGAAGGGGTTTGCAATTAGCGCCTGGAGCTCGCACACGCATCAAGCCGCCTGGAGGAGCACTGCTCACAGCAGCAGCTGAGGCGAGCGGCGCGTGCCCCGTGCCAGCACCGTCCTGGCCCATGAGCTCGGGGCACCGTGACCCTCACGGCACAGACCAGCAGACGCCACACGCAGACCCGAGCCACGCCTCTGCACTTCCGGGACCACAGAGTGCGGCTGGGCCAGCACGTGTGGGGAGAGAACTTGTGGGGACTTTATGAAATGTGCTCATGTCCCCTCATCAGTGCTCCCCCTGCCCTGCAGCCCCAAAGAATAACATCTGTATTTCCCATTTGCAGGAAATTTTGGGAAGAACGCAAGCGAGGGGAGATGGGGGGCGACGGATTCCCGATTCTGAACACCATAAATGCCAACAGTAACGTGAGAGGCAGGAGCCCACTCCTGTGGCATGAGGACCACGGGCACAGCCTGGGGTCGGTGGGAAGACCGCGCGCTGGCTGTGGGCTTGGCATGCCAGTTCCAGATCCCATGTGGCCTGGGCAAGTGTGCTTTCCCCGAGGACGAAGGGCTCGCTCTCCTGTGTGAGGCAAGCTGCCGGACAGGCCCGTCCCCGAGGCCTGTGGTGTTTCAAGTTGGCCATGAAACGCTTGTGCTAAAGGGACACTAGGAGTCTCATCTTCATAGGAAGGGAGCTGGGGCCTAGAGCTCCCCATCAGCCAGCAGTGCTGAGCCCGGAAAGAAGAGTGTGAGAGCCACAGAGGCCTCTGGAGCCCCAGGACCCCGCTCCACACCAGCAGGCCCAGCATCGGAGAGCCCCTGAACCCGGCCTTCTCAGGGCTAGGCCGCGGGGCGAGTGGCGGGGGGCTGGTGTCCGTGCAGGGATGGGGCACTGGGGTTTCCCACTGCAAACCACCCAGCCTAGCCCCCTCGCTCGTCTGGGGGTGTGCACAGCATGCCAAAGGCAGATGGGGGGGCCTTGGGGCCCCAGTGCCAGGCGGCCTGGCTGGAGGGTCTCCTGCTGCAGCCCACCACCACACACGGGGCTCCGGGCCACACAGAGGCAGACGTGGGCCTGTGGTGCTCCCCTCTCTGCCCCGGGGCCTCGGGGAAAGCCTCTCTACCAGGCTCAAGCAGCTGCCTGCGTTAAAACCACATTCAAACAAGGGCGTTAGGAAGGTACCGAGGCCCAATGCACGTGAGGTACCAACTGGGGGATGAGGAGACACATGTTTGGAACCGGACGGCACCCCTCAATCTACGCAGATGCTGGCGAGTTTGTAGGACATGACGCCAACACGACCGTGAACGTGGTCCCCTCTATTCTCTGCAAAATCGTCCCTGATATTGACACTGAGTAAAACGATGGGCAGATGAAGCTTCTCGGGGGGCAAGCATGTAAGCGTTTGTGAGAGGGCCCAGGAGGCTGGTGGCTCGATGTGGTCAGCCACAGAGCGGGCAACGGGGAGCAGAGGAGTTGGAGGGGAGGGGGACTGGCGGTGGGGCCCCAGGTGCCACGCTCAGGTCCCGTCTATGGTGACCTGCGAAGCCGCCTCATTTTCCTATCACAGGCGAGGACATACAACTTGGCTGAAAGGCGGTAGGAACCGCGGGCAAGTGGCCACAGTGGGGCTCAGGCCCCTTCACCAGCTTCCTGCGCGAGGGACGTTAGCCAGGGCAACGCTCAGACGTCTCCAGGTCTTAAGTAGAAAACAAGGCTGTCAATGGGGAAGTGACCCCTGTCCCAGGCCCTGGGACCTCAGCGGCAGCCCCTGGATGCTGTCCACCCACATGAAGGCTGTGGGAAGCCCCTGGCCTCTGAGCTGGTCACACGGGGGCAGGCGGAGAGCTGCCATCTGGGTCCCGGGCACACAGACCTGTGCTCAAGGCCAAGTGTGCTGGGTGACCTCTGGATGGTCCTGGGGTGGGGGGGTGTGAGGTCAACTGCACCCCTTGGGAAACTTCACAATTACTGGAAAATTCAAGAGGATTCAAAGTGAATCCCTCCCTGCAAACTTCAGACCCTCAGCCTTGGCCGGGGGGGGGTCTTTGGATTTTGGGGGGGACATGCTTTACCTTCGTGATATGAGGGGCAAAAGGTAGAAGGCCTGAGGTCCAGTACAGAGCTTGGCCCCACCTGTCTGTACAGCCCGTCATCCTCCCATGAAATGGGGGGTCAGCAGGACCCCACTGGTGGCTACCTTCTGTGCTTCCAACAAGAAGCTTCGGGACAACTGGCGCTGCCGGGGCGAGGCTGGTGCTGCAGGGGCCCGAGGACGGGGTGCCCCACAGCCTGCCACGGCTGCCGTGACAGCCCACCCCAGCCCGCGTGCTGGCCAGGCGCCAGCAGCCTCTAACGGGTGGCCCCGGTGCTTCTGCAGGTTCTGGGCAGAGCCGGCGCGAGTCCAGCTGAGACGGGTCCGCCATCACGGTATGTCGCCAGAGCATCATGCTTTTGGAGAAAACAGTGAATCTGCCCCTGGCTGGGAGAGACCTATTTTGTTTTGTGTTTCAGTGGCGACGAAGGGCAAGACAGTGTCCCTAACCGGATGGGTAAACGGAGGTCCGGCTACGTTCAGAAGGTGGAGCCACTCTACCTCGTAAACCAAAAGGCGTTGGGTCGCTCTTTACTTCGTGTCGCTTAGCTTTTTTGTCAGGGCTGGTAGGAGAAGCTGCAGAAGGAGGAAGAGGCAAAAATACGTGAGGACCTGCGTGCAGGGTGCAGGGGGAGGCGAGAGGAGCAGTGTTCACGCTGGGAGGGGACACAGACCCCCAGCGGGCTCATCGTCACTGTGCAGAGTAGCTGCCTGTGAGCAGAACGAAGCTAGCGGACGTCCCTCGCGCGGGGGACAGGAGAGGCCCCGGAGAGCAGGAGGGGAGGCGGTGCCCGCGTCCTAGGGGCCACGTGGAGGCGCGTTAACTCTGCACAGAAGGACGCGTGGGACACACACTTGCCGTGCTCATTAGCCAACTGTAGAGCTCCAGGACGTGTCCTTTTTTTTTTTTTGGAAGTTTGAGGCCAGCTTAACACTACTTTACAAATTGAAACAAAATCGAAACCAAAACCCTCCAGTTAGTTTCAGGCAGGGAGTCCAGTGCTTGCTCCCTGAGCTACCTCCGAGAGCGCCCTCCGCACGGCTCACCGCCAAGCAGCACTGAAAGGCGGCCCAGCTCTCGGAGATGTCCGTGCGAGGGACCCTCTAGGCGCCCTGTGCCTAACGACCGCCCCTCAGGGGCAGGCGACACCAGCTGGCGGCACCGTGGGGAGCAGGACACCTGCGGGCCGAACAGGACCGAGCAGGAAAGGGGCGGGGGCGCGGGGGGCGCCGCCCCGAGAAAACCAAGAAAAGCAATGACACTCCGGTTTCTGAGCGAGCCTTCGCTGGAAAAGCCAGCTTGCGCCCTGTCAAACCAAAGGCCCCGCCGAGGGAACCCGGCCGCGTGTCCCGCAGACACACCAGCACGAGGACACGCGGTTCGGTGGGGAGCGCGCAGCAGCCGCCCACACAGATGAGCACCACACGAATGGATGACAGACAGGCCACCACGGTGAGGGACACATCCACGGCATGGGTTTTAGGTGGGTGCCTTTTACCTTTCTGACCTTTGAGGTTAGCAAAGCCCTGCAGAGTAAAGCGCTTTCTGGAAAGCGCGGAGCTTTCTGAGGTAGAGCTAGTGACCGTGTCATCTACAAAGGAAGAGAGAGGGATGGTGTGGGGGCGCTCGGGGCACACGTCCGGTCACGCGGGCTCTCCTCCGGGCACCCCGGCCGCCAGGAGGGGCGCGTCTCTGGGAGGTCCCGGCACGCCGTGCAGGCAGCGGTCCGTGCGTCCCGGACACGCCGCTCACAGACACCGTGACGCAGCTCCCGGCGCAGACACCCACCTCTGCCCTTCTCGGGGGGCTTCGGCAACGACGTGGGGCTCACGTATCCTTCCAGGCTCAGGGGGTCAGTTTTCCTTTCTTCCAACTTCTTGATGTTCCTCGTGCTCCCTTTCGAGGGACTAATGACGTCACACACCCCGGAAAAAGAAGGGGAAGTAGAACGTTGCAGGTTAGTGTTTCAAGTCCTCCCTGAGGATCCGAGGCTGCGCCGTCCCTGGGGCCCCACCGGGTCCTTCAAGCCCCTCTGGGTCCCCGGGGGCAGAACCACACGAGAACAAACCCCACATGCTGGGTGCGAATAGGAGGTGGGGGTTTCTCTGAGTTCGGGGGGCGGTCTTTCTCTTTTCAAAGTGTTGTTCTGCGGATCATTTCCCTGGACCATAGCCTGTCCCACCGAGGGTCAGAGGTGGCTCACAGCAGAAACAGGAGAAATAGTCACAAGGCCGCGTGAACGCGTACAGTAACGGGAAAGCTGAGGGCAGAGAAGGCACGACGAAGCCAGGGGAGGATGAGGCCGGCGTGTTGGGCTCTGCACCTCGGCCCCCACGGCCCCTGTCCCTGTCCGAGGCGCCACCGTCGCGGAAACATGGCGGCTGTCACGCGCGCCAGCCGCACGTCCTGTGCTGACTTAACAGGAAATGACCCACAGACGGAAATCAGAGACGGTTAAGAGCTGGCCTCTGCCCAGGGTGGGGCCAGAGACCCCGTCCCCGAAGCTGGCCCGCGGGCACGGACCCCCGCACGCAACGCCAGGGGGCGCTCCCGGGCCCTGCCGGCACACCTGGGGTGACCCAAACCCCAGTAAGGAGAGGCGGGTCACCGGCCGCGTGCACGCGGCGGCGCATGCAGACCCGCGCCTGTCCCCGGCTGGAGGCGCTCACCTGGTGCTGGGCGGCACGGGCAGAGGCAGGCTCTGGGACTGCTCGAGCGCTCTGTGCTGGCTGGCTTCTGCAGGGAGGGAACAGCCCCACTCACCAAATTTACCCCTCACCCTGCAGCACCGCCGAGAGCTCAGAATTTGGGGGGCGCTCTGGACGTGCGCAAAAATGCGCCTGGAGCCAAAGCCCAGAGCAGCTCGTGGCCGCGGCGGCTCTTACCTCGGCAGGCTTGCAGCTGGCTGGTCAGCACCTTGCGGATCTCACTCACCCACGCAGCTTTGATTTCAGGGCTCGGTGCCTGAGGCCGGGAAGGAATGCCAGGAGGTGAGAACGCACGTTCCCTAAAGACACTGCTTTTCCTTTTACTCCTGAAGCTTCTGCGGACCACTTTGGAATGGACCATGGGAGCACTGCCCGGGAGAAAGGAGGCGATGGACAGTCCCCTTGCCTCAGGACTGCACCATGGGCACGGCACAGAGGGAGGGCCTGTGGGCCACACGGGCGGCGGGCTGACCGCCCGGCCTCCCCCGCCACACCCTCGCTGGCGTCGGACTCAGTGGAAACCTGGGGCACAAACCCCCCTTTGGGAGCACGTCTCTCCGGGAAGTGGTCCACGGCATCGTTTTATGACGAGGAAGACGGGAGAAGCTCCCAGGGCACGAGCGGCGCGAGCCGCTGTCCTGCATCGGTACCGCGCGTGCGGCCAGAGGGCAGTGACAGCTGGGCTCTGGAGGCGGGGCCGGCAGAAAGCCAGAGTGCCGGCCGCCGTCCCCACAGCTCCTGGGGGCTGGTGCCCGAGCCGGAGCCGGGCACCATCTCTGCAGGGCTGCCGTGCTGGTGGGCACGCCGGGACAGGGTGCCGCGGCCACCGCATCCCCCGGGGCTGCCCCCGTGTCTGAACATGGAGGGCAACCCGAAGAGACCAGCCCTGAGTGCTGGCCGACCCGATCACAGGCCCCAGGGACAGGTCACGTGGGCTCAGGGCGCACGTGCAGTCCTCCCACCTCCTGCCCTCACCAGCGCGGCCGTGAGGGCCAGGACAGCCTGGTCACGTGTGTAACACACGAGCCCGTGTTCCCGGCCACGCCCTTTGTGCACCCTAACTGTGGGTTCCCCATACTTCCTCCTGGGTCCAGCTCAGGGCAGCCCCCCTACAAGGCCTCTGGGAGATAAGGCTCCACGGAAGCTTCCAGACGCCTGCCCTCGCCGGAGAGGCCCGACAAGTCCCTGACGCCTGGCCCCGGAGAACGCGGGGGCCCCACCTGTATGATGTACACCTCCTCCCTGGCGTTGTACCAGATCTCAAACTTCCTCACGTCGCCCTTCACGTTCTCTGTTATGCCGACGGCCGCCATCTGACCACGCAAAGCAGGGAGACAGACGTTCGTTATGTGTGACATGAGAGCACGCCACCCTCCCGCCTTTGAAAGGGGTCGGAGCATCCTCCAGATGCTGGAGGTGGTTTTGGGGTGGGGGCTGAGGCCGTCAGGGGGCCCGGACTCCCACACCCAAAGACACGAGCGGCCTGCGCCAGAAGCCGGGAGGTGTGGCCACGGCTGCTAGGACCTTGACCGCTGGCCCTCTCCCCTCCGCAGGGCCAGCGGCTGTAGGGAGGAAGCCTCCCCTCCGCAGGGCCAGCGGCTGTAGGGAGGAAGCCTCCCCTCCGCAGGGCCAGCGGCTGTAGGCAGGAAGCCTCACTCACGTTCAGGGACTGCTTGTAGCTGTAGGAAGGGGCCTTCTCGTATCCCTCCCCGTTCTCCTCCCTCTTCTTGCAGAAGAGCACGGCCTTCTCGTGCAGGAAGAGGTGTCGCTGCATGGGCTTGAACCTGGCCAGGTCCTTCACCTTGGTGTGGCCCTTCTTGTGGTCTGTCCAGACGCTGAAGGAGCCCTGCATCAGCAGCTTCCCCAGGTCACTCAGGTTCCCCTAAGCCCAGAATGAACGTGGGGACTTATACGCACGTTGCCGAGGAAAGCAGCCCCCCTTGGAGAGCTGCGTCCTGTAGGACCCCCGCTCCGTAACGCTTGGGAAAAGGCAGAACTGTGGAGACAGGTGAGGGGTCGGGGGTGGCCAGGGGCTGGGGGAGGGTGAACGGGTGGAGCACGGGGGCTTTCGAGCAGTGAAACTCTGACACCGTCCTGGTGGACACAGGGTGTTCCACGTCTGTCCAAACCCATGGGAGGCACATCCTGGACTCTGGGTGGAGATGATGAACCAGCGGAGGTTCATCCCTGTGACAAAGGTCCCACCTGCTGGGTGTGGGGAACGGGGGGGCTGCATGGGGGCGCGGGGGCGTGGGGGAGGTCCTCGTGCCTTCCCTTATCCTTCTGCAAACCTAACACTGCTCTAAAAATAAAGCCTGTTAAATTCAGAAGAATAGGGCAGGCGCAAATTGACTTACAGAGAAGCAACAAAACTGACCTAATTCGGGCACAGGAGGAAAAAGCAGAGTCTGACCTTCACGCTCGCTTGTCCCCTGTCCCCAACCCACAAGCTGCAGCGAACACAGATCGGCTCTGAGCACCGCCGCCCTCAGGGCTCCTGCACTGACGGGCCACTCGGAGGGGTGAAGGCTCCCTGTAGTCGGGGGCACGCCCCGAGCTGGAGGTCCATTCGCCCTGGGCCCGCCCCAGACGCCAGTCGGAACTGGGTTCCTGCCAGATTGCAGGGACACGCAGACACATGGATGCTCCCCGCACAGCTCTGCACGGATGGCAGGCGGACCGTCACCAGGCTCGTCGGCAGGAAGGGGGAAGCCCTTACGTCGTAGCCGGTGATGGCGATCAGGTGCATGGAGTCGTTCACAGCCTTGAGGATGCCCAGGATGGAGCTCAGTGCCTCCTGCAGGTCCTCGGCCCCCTCGCAGCTCTTGCTGTATTTTAGCATCTCCTGGGGGATGAGGATGCCTTCACACATCCGTGGGACATGGGACTCCCTGCTCCGGCCCTGGGCACCTGCGTGGACCCTCAGGACATCCAGGATGCCACCCCCCACAGCCTGCCTGTCCCAACGGTCCTGCCTGGTGCTGCAGACAGGGACATCCCCTGAGCCAGACGCTCAGCCAGGCCTCCCCGGGGCGGGCGCCCCTTCTGCAGCTCACGTCTTCCCACTCCTAGACCTGTTATTCTTTCCTTTCGAACCTGACACCCCCAAACCCGTGATGGCTAAAGGCATCTGCGGGTCCACTGGCTCGTTCACTCTGGCCCGAAAAGGAAGCTGGACACAGGCCGCCTTGCAGGGAGGACCACGTGTGGGCGCACGGCCTGGGGTGTGTGCGTGGAGACGCCTGGAGCGCGTGCTCCGTGGGGCAGGTCTGCCCAACTGTTTGCCCCTGTGTCCACAGCCCCCCAACAATGGCCGGCACACAGTAGGTGCTGCACAAAGGTCTGTGAAGAGCCAGGGCCCTCGCAGAGGGGCTGGGACCGCAGCGCTCCGGGGTGGCCGGGGCAGCTGCAGGTGGGGGGCTGCGAGGCCGCGGTGGGGGCAGGCAGCTCACCTTGAGCAGCAGTTGGTACTTGGTGATTCTCTGGACCGGTTTCAGCAGGTAGGAGTCCAGACTCAGCTTGTGGTCCAGCTTCCTCTGACATTCCTGCAAACCCAGAGCCCGCCCGTTGGGACCGTCTCCGTCCCTGTGTGTGAGGGCGGCAGTGGGGGAGGCCGTGCGCTCACGGGGGGCTCCCCCAAACACACCTGAAAGAATGGGCAGTCGGAACACTGTCTCCACAGGCTCTCGGAGCGCGGCTTGTTCTGACAATACTTCTCGTAGATCTGGAACTCCTCCATCTGACCCGGGGACAGAGCACGTCACAGGGCGCACCCATCCCCGCCTCCACCTCCACCTCCCATGCCGCATCGCAAGCCCACCAGGGTTCGCTTCGGAGCTGCGTTAGTCCCTCCTTCACACAGACTAGCACCACACAGCTGGCTTTTTGCCGTGAGAACAACAGACTAAAAACAGTGGCTGACCTTCTAACGAAAGAGCCTGCAGAGCTTGGTGCTCAAACGTGCGTGTGCACGGAGCTGCCCGGGGGTTTGTTAACACAGAACCCCCTGGAGGTTCTGAGTCGGCAGGTGTGGGGTGGGACCTGAGAACCTGCATTTCCAGTAAGACCCCAGGATGCTGATGCTGCTGGCCAGGGCACCCACTTTGAGAACCACGGACCTCCAGCAGGACCCCCCCCCCTCCACTCTCAAACAGCGCCGAGGAGGTCAACAGCGACCAGACCGAGTCGGAGCAGAAATACAGGTCCTCCTCCTTCCTTCTGCCTCTCGACCCCAGTTCACGCTGACGTGTCTCGACCTCTACATTATCGTATCGTGAAAATGGCTTGAGCTCAGCTACACTGTCCATGTCGCCCAGCTCACAGTGTATCCGGACGGGCCTGAGAGGAACACCCCGTCCTGCTCCCACCGCTTCTCCCAGCCCGGAAGGAGCTGGACGTCGGCCGGGTCAAAGACGAGAAAAGGAAGGAGACCCGTCCTAGGCCCGCTCGCGCGGGAGGGCTGGTGGCCGGGCCAAGACCAGACACAGGCACCAGCTCGAGGAAGGTCAGCTAAGCTCAGCTGCACAAAGTCTGCCGTGTGCTGTCGAGACAGACGCTTTCTAAGTCTGGCGCTTCTGAACCAGCTACTGGGCTTTAGATAAAGCCCCACCTCAGGCAGACCGGGAACACCTGCCCTTCGTGATTTCAGTGGGCTAGAAGGAGACTGTGATAGGGTTTAAAGTCATAATTGTTTCATGCAGTAATTTTAACAAGGTAGGCACGGCAAGGTGCACATTGAAAAAACACATACCCGTTCCAGGAAACACCTTCCAACCAGCTCTGGGCAGCCTGCGTAGTCTTCCAGCTCCCTCAGGAATATTCTAGACAGAGAAAGTGCGCCTGAGGTCACGTGAAGAGCAACCCGGAGGAGACGCCGGTCACAGATGAACAGATGTTATTTCCCAGGTCACGTTTATTTCTGACTCTGGACAGTCAGGAGACTGTGAGCGGGGCCCTGCAGCGCAGGCCGGGCTCTCCTGGGGGCCCGGCTACAGCAAACTCGGGTTTAAGCAGACCTGGCCCCTTCGTGGGTCCCTTCAGGTGGCTGGTGTTGGCGTTCACACAGAAGTTAGGCCTGCTGCTTTCTGCACGCCGGACGGGGACGAGGAGGCAGACAGAAGCTGGTGCAGCTGTGAGAGACCCGCCCAGACCCATCGAGCTCCGCAGGGGTCAATCCTGCCTCGAGGGAGAGCTCCCTGGGGTCAGTTCGCAAGCACTGAGGCCTGGCCCAAGCCGAGGACGCTGAGGGACCAGGCTACCTGACCTGTGCCCCCTCCGTGGAAAGGGAGTGGTCCGGGCGGTCCGGCGGCACACTGGTGCCTCCTCCGTAGGCAAGTGGGTGACCCAGGCTGAAAGGAGTCTCAAGCGCCCCCACAAGCCCAGGGGAGGCTTTCTCAGGACGCACAGGCCTGTGCTGTCTGTCTGACTGCCGCCCATGCATCCTGCGTCCACCCCCTCACGTCCTTGCCCACGAGCTCCCGCAAACTGCAGCGAGGAGCCAAGGGTGGGGGGACGGCCGCGGGAGCATCGTTCGTACTTCCCCCAGAGCCACGGCGACCACAGACGGTGCTCGCGGGGGGAGAAGAGGCAGGACAGGGACGTCTGCAGCTGCCTCCTTTGCAAGGATGAGCTTGGGGACAAAACGGGCCTTGCTGAGTGGTGTGGCGTTGGTGCCACCCAAAGGGCCAACACACACACTGAGCGGGACTGGTCGCTGCTGGCCTGGCAGGCGTGGGGCCGCTCCTACGTCCTCAAAGCCCAGGTACTTCCCAGCACACCTGTAACGGCCTGGCCGGCTCCTCCCCCCTGAGCCCACTGCCCCACAGCAGCCCCTGAGAGCCCGTCCCCTGAGAGGAGGAAGGATGCTCTCCACCCGCAGACCACAGCCCAGGGCCCGCATGTGGTCTGGCTCCCTGCAGGCCGCTGTCTCAGAGGCAGACCCCACCGGACAGGTGCGGTCAGAGGAGGGCCTGACCTGTTATGAAAGTGGTAAATCTCTTCCATGTTTCCGAAGAGAATGTTCTTCTTGTTTTGGAGGCCTGGTGACACGAGGTGCGCCATGAGCGGGTTATCCAGCTCAGCAGCATAGCCCTGTGGAGGCGGGGAGAGGTTGGGAGGCACGCCGGGTTCTGTAACAGGCTCCGTGGGCTGCCAGCAGGTAGGTGACGCCTCTCAGGGCTTAGAAAGTGAATCCACCCTTACTTATTCACTGACCGTTTCTGAGATGACCACCCAGACAACAAGCACCGAAAAACGTGAGTCAGCTACAGATGGCACCATTTTTAGGAGTTGTGTTGGGAGGGGGGGGAGTTCCATCCTCTCCCTTTCAACCTCTTAAAACTCATATAATTGGTATGAAGGAGAAAAATGTTCTGTATACACCTTGACAAATCATTCAAATGTCTACACCCCTGTAACCACCACCCAGACCAAGATCCAGAACATTCCAGTGTCCACAAGCCCCTGCCTTCCTGGCAACAGCCCCCGAGGCCTCCACTCTGCTCCTCCACCCAGACCGGGTGGCTCAGCTGTTCCTGCAAGGGAATTGCACACGGTCCTCCTCCTGCTCCTGCCACACTCTGGGGTCAGCCATGCTCTCGGGTCAGCCACGCTCCGGTGTTGGCAACACTCCATGGTCAGCCACACTCTGTGGTCAGCCACGCCCCCCGGGTCAGCCACGTTCCCGGGGTCAGTCACGTTTGGGGTCAGCCACACTCTGGATCAGCCACGTTCCGGGGTCAGCTACACTCTCAGGGTCAGCCACGCTCAGGGACAGCCACACTCCAGGGTCAGCCACGCTCTGGGTCAGCCACGCTCAGGGTCAGCCACACTCCCGGGTCAGCCACGCTCCCGGGTCAGCCACACTCCGGGTCAGCCACATTCCCGGGGTCAGCCACGCTTGGGGTCAGCCACACTCCGGATCAGCCACATTCCTGGAGTCAGCCACACTCTCGGGGTCAGCCATGCTCAGGGACAGCCACATTCCAGGGTCAGCCACACTCCAGGTCAGCCACGTTCCCGGGGTCAGCCACACTCTCGGGGTCAGCCACGCTCAGGGACAGCCACACTCCAGGGTCAGCCACGTTCCCGTGGTCAGCCATGCTCGGGGTCAGCCACGCTTGGGGACAGCCACACTCCAGGGTCAGCCACGCTCCCAGGGTCAGCCACACTCTCGGGGTCAGCCACGCTCAGGGACAGCCACACTCCAGGGTCAGCCACGCTCCCAGGTCAGCCACACTCCAGGTCAGCCACGCTCCCGGGGTCAGCCACGCTCTTGGGGTCAGCCACACTCTGTGGTCAGCCACGCTCCCAGGGTCACCCACACTCCGGGTCAGCCACGTTCCCGGGGTCAGCCACGCTCGGGGTCAGCCACGCTCAGGGTCAGCCACATTCCTGGGTCAGCCATGCTCTTGGGCTCAGCCACACTCCGGGTCAGCCACGCTCTGGGTCAGCCACACTCTCTTCTTTGCTGCTGGAGTAGGTTCCTGTGCAGATGCACCTACGTCTCCTTGTTCCTGGTCCCACTGATGGACACGTGAGTTGTTTCCAGCTTAGGGCCGTCTGAGTAAAGCTGCCACCCTCCTCTCATGCTCTGTATGTGGGGTGAGCCAGATCACAGGCTCCCGGGGTGCCCCCGCCACCCCTGGCACAGGCTCACCTCCAGGACACAGAGCAGCTCCTCCACGTAGACCCGTTCCGTGTCCAAGAGCTCGTTCATCACATGCCTGTGAGCAGAGAGGGGTTAGGGCAGGAAGGGGTGCAGACAGAAGACCCCCAGAGCGGGGGTGGGCATGGGAAGAGGAGGGGGTCAAGAAAGAGAAGCGGCACAAGGAGGCGCCAGGGGGCCGCCAGGGGTGGTGAGCACTGCTACACACCCGTCTCTGGGGAATCACACAGGCTCGTCACCTGGGGCTTGAGGAAGGGGGGACACAAGCCATTTCAAATCATCAAAATCCTGCCTGCGGATCCAGGGACAAAAGGCTTTTCTAGGAAAAACCAGCTTTGTCTTGGCTGTGGACGTGGACTCGCCAAATGGACAGACGCATGCCCGCCTGCACGCAGCGTGGCGCATGCCCGTGTGTGTGCTCCCTGACGCCCGCTTTGCGGTGGACACTGACAGATCCCACCAACTCGGGCCTGCTGATGTTCAGACTCCCCGTGGCCAAAGGCTGAGATCTGAGACGGTTGCACTTGCCGTCTCTGGGCCAGAGCCACTCACCTCCGCAAGATGGCCAGGCTTTCCTCCTCATCCCCCGTGGAGCTGCTCCGGCCCTGCCGGCTCTCACTCATCTCGCTCTGCGGAGAGAAGAGCATGCGGGGCAGACACGAGAAGGTGCAGCCCTACGCCTGACTCCGAGGAGCCCAACCTCACTCCCCACTGGGGAGGGATCGGAGGTCCCACGGCACAGGCAGGGCGGGACTGCGAGGAGAGCCGCTGCGCGGGGGCGGCCTGGACGGCGGCCTCACCTTGGCCCTCCTGTAGGGCCCTCTTCGGAGCGCGCTGCCCTCAGAACTGTTCTCAGAGCCTCTCCTTCTGCCTGGTTTGGAAAGAAATGAAGAAGGGAGGTGTGGCTTCGTATCTCACTGCCTGGAGGGGAACTACGACACCTGGGAGCGTACGGTTGTAGGAACAGGAGCAAGCCCCCTGCCCACGCCCGACGGGGAGGAAAGCAGAGGAAACGTGGAGCAGAGGAGGGCAGGTGGGAGCCCCGGGAGGGAACATGGAGCCCGTGCACACACATGTGGGACCCGGACACCACTGGGCTGGGGGGTAAGGTCTCCTCTGACGGATGCCCCATGCTGTGGAGGGGGAAGCCGGCTCTCCAGGGTCTCACCAGCTTACAACACACTCGCCAAATCCCTGAGGTGGATGGCAGGCAGACGCCGCCGCAGAAGGGGCTCTGGGAAATGGTGTGGCCACCTGCTCGGCCTCCGAGGAGGAAAACACGAGAGACCGGGGCCACTGGGGGCTTTGGGCTGCGGTCGGAGAACTATTTTGGCAACAGCACTGAGGAAGATAGGCTGGGGCAGAGACCGGAGTCAGGGAAGAGCCCCTTGACGGCTAGTGGATGGCACATACTGGCCGTGTGCCAATAAAACTTTATTTACAAGGGCCCACCGTGGCCTGGAAGGACGGTGACGGCACATACCTGGGGAGGGGCAGGGCGATTTTGTGAGCGCCTCTGGCCGGGGGGCCACGGGCTGCACGGGCCGCGTCTGCTTGGCTGCCAGCTTCTTCAGGCTTGCCTGTCTCCGGTGGAACATCTCCTCCATGCCCTCTTGCTTCTGGAAGACTTTCTGCACGTGCTCCTGAAGGGACAGGGTATACAAACTCGTGAGCAAGAGACACCACCAATTTCAGAAGCACACCCTCCGTTGAGCTTGGGACACAGCCCCATGGCAGCCACATGGCAATCCCGCACTCCTGCCCTTGCTGCGGTCGGAAGAGGTGGGACCCCCGTGGGATGGGGGACTGGAGGCTGAGAGGCCGCCACAGGTCTGCAGGCCCCTGGAGGAAGGGTGCGGACAGCTGGCTGGGCAAGAGTGGGGCACTGGGCCAGGGCCGTATGCAGCAGGACTCGCAGGAGGGGGCCCCCAGCAGGGGCTGCTCCTCGCAGGACCCTGGGGGCAGGGAGACTGCCCTGGGAGGGAGATGCTGCTGGAAGGGACGCTGAGCCCCATGACTGCCCAGGATGCTCTAAGAGGTCAAGCCGGGATTCTTCCACACACCCCAGAGCAACTTCCCGCCGTCAGCACAGGGGCCGGCTCTGCTTACCATCAGGTCTTTGGTGAGGATGGACTCATAGTCCTGGTAAATTTTATTGAGCTCCTGGATCTTATTTTCTGCACCAGTCTCCAGGAATTTCTCGATTTCCTGCAGGGCCGCCTCCGCGCCGTCCTGGGACTGGCACTTGTCCACAGGCTGCGAGGCTAGCAGGTAGATCCCCTCATCACACCACCTCATGGACTGGGCAGGGAGAGGGGGGCGCCGTCAGAGGCCGTGTCTTGGCGTGTCTGGTAGGCATGCTCTGCCCGGGCCCCGCCGGCCGCCCCACCCGCCGCCGGCCGCCGCCATGCTCTGGGAATCTCTGGGCTCGACTGTGCGGCGCCCGGAAGCCACGCACACCGCCCAGACGGACTCGTTCACGCAGAGAAAGTGCAGGGAATTAGCCGGCTTTGGCCCTTGTGGCAAGGGAATTCTAGAAAACGGCAGCCATGACTGGCTGGGCTCAAGAGAGGCCCACAGACCGCAGGGCGTGGGCCAGCTTCCAGCCCGTGCCTGCGGTCCGTGGGGAGAGAGCGGGCCATGCGGGAGCAGGAGGGCGAGGACGGGGGTCTTACTGCTTCCAGGAGGCCGTGCAGCTCCAGGGACTTGCTGAGCAGCCCCCTCCGCCTCTCCACCTCGGCCGCAGACCTCTCACAGAGGTGCTGGAGCTCGTGGCACTTGGGGCGGATGGAGTCCACAGCGTAGTGCTTGCTGTCAATGAGCTTCTCGCCCTCCAGTGCCAGGGCGCGGGCCCGCTCCACAGAGGCCTGTGGGGACAGTGCCCAGGCACCCGGCTCAGCTTAGGTTGTGAGCGCGAGCAGCGTGTGGTTTCTGGGAGGGATCCGTGGGGGTGGGAATGAGACTGGGAGGGGTCGGTGGCTGGGGCCGTGCGGCCTCCACTCGTGACGTCCCCCCCTGATGGCAAGAGAGCCCCCTTCCCGTGCCTTCCTAAGTGATGCCATGGTGTCGTGAGCACCACCCGCAGGCTGTCCCCTGCCCACACCAGCCCACGTCCCAGGCCTTACGCTCGACTTCTCCTCAAAGCTGGTGAGGTCCTTCAGGAGGTGCTCTGCGTGCGCCAGGCTGTTGCCCACATCGGTGAAGGTTGCTATCTTCTGGGCCAGTGTGTCTAAGGAGGCTTTGACCTGAAACACAGGAGGGGCAGGAAGGCCCGGGCCCATGTCAGCTATGGAGGCACGGCCCAAAGCAGGAAGGGAGGGAGGAGAGAGGAGCCAGGTCCTTCTCAGGAAACAGGGCAGAGGGACACATCCTCAGAAGTCTTACAGCCTACCGGACGGCTGTCATGGTGGTGAGAACACGCCTTCCTTCTAAGACCGGGAACAAGGCAAGGATGTGCACTCTCACCACATAGCCAGTGCAAGATGGCGAAATGCACGCATGCACACATAAAAACACAAACAACCCAGAGACTTACAGATGGAAAAGGAAAGAATCAAGCTGTCCCTGTTTGCATGAGACCTCATCATCTATGCAGAAAATCCCCCAAACCCTACAAAACAACTAACAGAGTAAGTGAGTTCAGCAAGGTTTCAGGAAGCAAGATAAACATACAAAAATCAGTTGTATTTCTAGGTATAGCAATGAATACATGGACACTAAAATTAAAAACACCGTCTACAGTTGCTTAAAAATGAAATACTCAAGTGTAAATCAAACAGAACACATACTAAACTGGTTTGCTGAAAACTGCAGAACATTGATGAGAAAGATCTAAGTAAAAGGTGTGACAGACATGTTGTGTTGATTGACTGCAAGACTCAACGTAGGAAAGATGTTGACTCTCCCCCAAATATAGATTTAGTACAGTTCCTATCAAAACAGCCGCAAAACTTTATAGATCTAGAAAGATTTTTTGCAGAAAGGCAAAGGAACTGGAGAACCTAAAATGATTTGGGGACAAAGAGGCGGTGGGAGGAACGGTCCACCTGATTTCAAGACTTAGTGCACGGCCCCAACCAGCAAGACTGTGTGGGGTCGATGGACGGACGGGACGCACACCTGGAAGCAGACCCAAATGGATATGCCTCACTGACTTTTGACAAAAGGGGGAAAGCAGTCCAACGGAGAACAGGAATCCTTTGTGATAAACGCTGCCAGAGCCCCTGGACGGACACCCAGAGAGACTAAACACTGAACCGTGACTGGATTCTCACCCCACACAAGAGCTAACTCAAAATGGATCAGGACTTAAACCTAAAACTGTAAGACTTTTAGCAAGAAAAGCCCAGGAAAACATACTTGGGACCCAGGATTTAGGATGGACGCCAAAAGTATGATCCTTAAAAGAAAAAATTGATAAACTGGACTTTCTCAAAATGAAAACATGTGAAGTGTTAAACCGTGGCCTCCCTGCACCCCAGAACCCTAATTATTCAGCAGTAACAAGAGTGAACTTGCAACACCTGCATTGATTCTGCGGCATGAAGAGAGCCAGGCCCTGAAGGCTACATATGTATGACCCCATTCTAGAACATTCTTGAAATGACAGCATATGGAAACAGAGCAGATCAGTGGTTGCCAGGGGTTCAGGAGGGGAAGGATGGCTGGGGAGGGGTTCAGCAGGGGGAGGGGTGGGGGCTCAGCAGGGCAAAGGGAAGGGCAGAAGGGGACGTGGGCTCAGGAGGGCAGGGGTGGGTGGGTGGGGTGGGAGGGAATCGTGTCTACAAGAGGGAAACCCGGGTCTGTGTTGGGGCGGGATGTTCCGTGTGCTGACCGCGTGGTTCTGGCCGCAGCTGGCTAGAGGGTAGGTGAGGTCTGGCTGGATTCTTTCACAACTGTCCTCAGGTCTACAGCTATCCGTAAGTGTCGTTTGTCGTGTCTGGTGGGCCCTCCTCAGCGCCCCCGGAGGAGGTCAGGCAGGACCATCTTCTCTGCTCCCACGGTTCGCACAGGCGGGGTTACCTCTCTGGTCCCAACCAGGGAGGCTGGTCCCCTGCACGCCGAGCTCCCGCACATGCTCAGTGCTACTGAACCAATCCCGTGTTCCCGAAACGGTGACATTTCAGGACTCTGGGGGGACTGGAACGCTTGCTTCTGCTCCCCTGGCCCTTACCCATGGCCTTGGGACGGCGTTCGCGCTGGACTTGGGGTCGTTACTTGCTTCTCGTGCATTTGGAAGCCCCCACCCCACCTTGACCAGAAGGACCAGGAGAAACATCATGGGGCAGGACGAGGGCACATGGACGGCTCAGCGTGCTCACGCGCATAAATAAGTGATCAACGGCTTCTGCTGAGTCCTGTTGAGACCTCTGACCCCACGGCTGCGTGTCAGCCCCGCGTGTCACCACCAGGCGTCACCCCGCGTGTCACCCTGGCGCGTCACCCCGGCGCGTCACCCCCGTGTCACCCCGGCGTCAGCCCCGCGTGTCACCGCCGGGCGTCACCCCGCGTGTCACGCTGGTGCGTCACCCCGCGTGTCACTCCCACGCGTCACCTCGCGCGTCACCCCGTGCGTCACCCCAGCATGTCACCCCGGCGTGTCACCCCCGCGTGTCACCCCGGCGTGTCAGCCCCGCGTGTCACCGCCAGGCGTCACCCTGCACGTCACCCCCATGCGTCACCCTGCGTGTCACCCCCGTGCGTCACCCCCGTGTCACCCCGGCGTGTCACCCCTGTGTGTCAGCCCCGCGTGTCACCGCCAGGCGTCACCCCGCGTGTCACCCCCATGCGTCACCCCGCACGTCACCCCACACGTCACCCCACGTGTCACCCCCGTGCGTCACCCCCGTGTGTCACCCCGGCGTGTCACCCCTGTGTCAGCCCCGCGTGTCACCGCCAGGCGTCACCCCGCGTGTCACCCCCATGCGTCACCCCGCACGTCACCCCACACGTCACCCCGCGTGTCACTCCCACGCGTCACCCCGTGTGTCACCCCGACGTGTCACCCCTGCGTGTCAGCCCCGCGTGTCACCGCCAGGCGTCACCCCGTGTGTCACCCCCACGTGTCACCCCGCACGTCACCCCGTGCGTCACCCCCGCGCGTCACCCCCGCGCGTCACCCCACAATCCCTGAGCTATGGAGCCCAGTGTGGCTGTTGCTCTCAGTTCAGGGCACCTGGGACGTGCGAGCCGGCACAGGACAGATGCCCACTGGGCGAGGGGGCATCCAGATGGCTCCTGGACTCGGCCGCGAGGAACGCAGGGAAGTGCACGCCCATGGCAGAGAGTGGAACCTGCGTGGGCAACGACTCCCTGGCCACACGCTTCAAGGTCTGGTCCCACGGGGTCTCGCAGCTCCGTGTGGCGGACGGAGACCTGGGCAGCTCGGCCCCAAGCGGCGGGTGGACCTGGGCCGCCTCGCGGCTTCCTGCGCCCACGGCCAGCTGCCCCCGCTCCGGCCACTCACCTCTCGAAAGTCCTGCTCAAAATGCCGAAGCTGCAGACACTGTTGGAGTTTCTGCTGATGCTTTGCCCAGAACTCATCGAAGGCAGCCTCGGTCTCGCTCAGCTGGGCCAGGAGCCTGGGGAGAGGAGAGGCTCTGTCTGCGCGGGTGTGGGGCGCGGGGTGCGGGGTGCGGGCTCCGGCTCCGCGGCCTGCCCACACCCTCGCCACCTCTCTCCGGCGCTGGATGCGGGATTCGCAGGGCCAGCTGTGCCCGCGGGAGAGGCACAGCAGGGGCGACCCCACCGGGCCGCCGCCCGCACACCTCATCGCACTGGGCCACGCCAACGCCCATCGGGAGCCCGGGGCAAAGGGCTGGGCTGAGCGTGTTACCAGCTGAGAGGGCAGCGGTCTGGGCTTCTCACTTCTAAGTTCGGGGATGAAGGGTGCAGTGAGCCGCCACCATTCACTGACCCCGCTCCCAGGCCAGAACGCCTGCCAGATGCCCATGGGTGTTAGCCCGTCAGCCCTGGGGTCAGCTCCAGCCCCCTCTGTTCATGACTCCACACCTGCATGGGGCCCCCTGAGGCCGCCCCCCATCCCTGGCACAGCACCCCGGCCATGTAAACTGCGTGTAAGAGTCCGCCTGGGTCTGTGCCTGGGTCAGCCCGTGGTGGGCTGGGTGTCACCCTCAGGCCGTCCGGCTGCTGGGTTCCCGTGCACGCCTTGTCCCCCGCCAAGGGCCGGGCCTGTGCGTGGGGCTGTGGGTGTTCCGGGGTGCTGGGGCCAGTCCGCACAGGCGGCTGGAGCTCAAAGAGGATGTGCACGTTGTCCTCTTTCCAGGAAGGACAGCATCCCTGGGTCTCGAAGGCACAAGCCAGCCCGGTGGGCGGAGACAGGTGGGTGCGGAAGCATTAGGGCTCCACAGCCTGCAGGACCGGTCAGCACCAGCTCCCTTAAGCATCCCCCGTGCTGGCAGAAAAGAACCTTCGCTCTAAGACAGCTTCCTCCCCGGAACAGCTGCTTTCTTTGGGGTTTGGAAGACAAGCGTGTCAGCAGTAAGGACTCGCAGTCCCCTTGCTTCCCGTTAGGATGAGGACCTGGGGGCCCCTGTGTCCTCTGTTGCTCTGGCCTCAGCTCGGGCCTCACCTCTGCACAGTGGTCTGGTTATCCAGCTGGTCCTGGTTTAGGCTCTGCTCCCCGCCCTTGGCCAGCGGCTCCCTGATGTTCTCCAGGATGCTCTGCCCCTCGTCCAGTGCCGACCTCATGTCCTCCTGTGGGGACAGCGCGTGCCTGGCACCCCGGGCTCACTCCCACCTCCTCCTTAGAGCTGCCGAAGGACGGCAGGTGTCTGGAGACTCCTCTGCTGTGGCCAGGGCACGGCTAGGGCTACGGTTGCCTGGGGCAGCGGGAGCAGGGAAGACACCAACAGGAAACCAGACCTCTAGGTGCCTGCTTCCGCGGTGTCCTCACTGCCAGGAGCGAAGGGAGTGTGGGCTTCTGGGGGTGGGGCCAGCCCTGACCCCAAGCCACACCCCGCCCAGCTCAGGCTCCCCGGGAGTGTGGCTGGCTAGCGTACAGACCGATGCAGTCCCCTGGGTCAGCCCACAGTCCCCCACCTGCTGTCTGGGAACTGCGGGCAGACATCCTGCCCTGCTTGTGCTAACAAGCAGCAGACGCTCATGGCCAGTGGCCCGGCCGTCTGGACGCCCGGGAGCCGCTCAGAGGGAGGCTGCTCTCAGACCCTGCGGCACTCAGGCCACTTTCAAGAAGGAGCACTTTCCGTCCTCGGAGAGCTCGCCGGCTCACTGGCACGAAAACGCGCCTGTGACGTGGCCTCAGCTCGGTTTTGCCCGATGCCCGTCCCCGTCCCGCACAGAAGCCACGCGTACCTTCGCTCTGTCCTTCTTCTCCGTATGCGCGCAGAGCACCAAGCTCGTCGACTGCACGTCGTTGGGCAGCTCCGTTTCGGCCAGCTCGGTCCCGAAGGACTGTAGCATCTGAGCTGTCTGCTTAACCATGAGGGCGAAACCTTCGATCGCCTTGGGAAGAAGGAAAACACCCTCACCGAGCTGTGCACGCGTGCATCCTCCTGCCGCCCGGAAAGCAGGCGTCCGGTGCGGAGCGCGTGGCCATGCTCGGGGCGGGGGCAGGGCAGTGCCCAGCCAGCTCCTGAGCCCCACAACTCCTCCAGAAGCGTACCGGGCACCGTCTATGCGGGATCTCATCAGCTAGAGTCACTCTGTGCTCCGTCTCTCCCCCACCCAGGGGCTTTCCTTTCTGTTCTGTCTCTGAGCCCAGAGAAAACCACTCCCGAACTTATTACTCATGTTGTTTCTTTAGATGACTGAGGTCCACTGAGACCATCTCCTCATTCTTGGGGAACAGAACTGAGGTACTGGGAACATGTCTTTGGAAAAGGCAGCATCGTCATGCAAAAGCCATTCAGCCGATCAAGTCGGGATCAGGGGGACCCACAGCACACGCCGTGTGCGGCCGGCCCGGAGGACTCACTGTGCGGTGAGACAGCCACCTGGTGTGGCTGTAATCCAGGGTCCCACCCAGGTCCTCGGTCAGCTGGGACTTGTCGATGTAACCGTGTAATTCTGGTACTGAGCTCAGCATTATGACCTGGAGGGGGAAAGAAGCCGCCCCCATAAAGAGACCACCCGGCGGACCAGGAGCGACGCTCTCCCGCTGGTCCCTAATGGTGGCTGCGCGGGCAGGAGGTGTCTGGCTTTGGACCCTGGCTTAACTCCCAGCTCTACCACTTCCGGGCTGGTCGACCTTCTCTCTGTGCCCCAGCGTGAAATGGGCCTGCGATGACTGATCTCGGCATTGAAGGCAGGCGTTCGAGCCCCGACAAGAGCTGGGCACACAGCCAGCACCAGGCGTCCCACAGGTGCGCTTGGCTCCCGGGCGGGGGAGCTCCTGGCGGCAACCGAGCAGCACTCTGACTCGAAAGGACGTCGTTTTGTCCCTATGCCCACGGAAACCCGGTGGGCTCATCACAGGTGCCCTTCCGTGGGACCCAGGAAGCGCTGCACACAGGCTTGTCTATCTCTCTTGCCCTTTCCGGGACATTCTGTCCATGAGTTCTGGGTAAAGACATAGCCTTTGCTTGGCAAGCCATCGGACAGACGCTACAAAACAGGTCTTGAGAGGTTTAGGCCAAATGGTATCGGACACCATCTTGTGTATTATTGAACGCCGTATTGGTTTAATCGCCCAGGAGATGCCTGACGCCATCTGGAAATGTTTCTGATCGTCACGATGTGGGGGTGCTGCTGAATCCCACCCCTGCAGGACAGCCCCACCACAGAGGATAATGCAGCCCAAACCGTCCACAGGCCGCTGAGATCCTGCGAGCCATGGCCTTCAAGCAGAAGAGGCTGAAACGTCCCAGAGGTGGGCAGCGGACTCAGCAGAGAGGATTCTCTGCCCCTCCAGCAGAAAGCCCCGTCTCTCGACCCGCATGACCAAAGCCTGGCCACCTTCCTCATGACTTCTGCATCTCACCTAAACCCTGCACACGCTCCACGTATGTTTACTCGTGACAGAGAAGGTGTAGGGACCGTTTCTCTTAACGTTCTCTGTCCAGCACGAGGTCAGCACACAGCACCAACACCGGACATGTTGCTAAAGTGAACGCGTTTTAACAACGGCATTCTTGAGAGGATGTTTTCTACGCTTTTAAAGGGTTATCTAAAATGGATCAGCACACTGAAGAGCCAGCGATGATTTTGAGAACTCACTGGGGATTTGGCCCAATAGTGCCATTTGCAGGGGAGACCACCACCCTTAGGACAGACCCCGTCTGGTTTCCTCGGACGCGTCTGTGTCGAGACCTTGCTAACGAGGTTCACTTGCCCCTTGTAGGGCAAGGCTGGACACCCGGGTGTCACGAGGCTGGAGGAGCCTGGGCACTGGTGGCTTTCATGCTGGGACACCACCGTGAGCGGTGTCTCGGTGGTTTTGTCCTTGCCCATCCCCAGGAAACGGGCCATCAGAAATAAAAGCATCCAGGCCTGCAAACAGTGAGTGCACTGGTGTCCCCAAGACCCCGAAGCCCACGGTTTAGGGCTGCCGAGTGCGACTTGCTCTCGAGCCGGGGACACCTCACTCACGTCCCCTGACTGTGCAGAGCGCCCGGCATCTTGTACACCGAGGAGCGGGTATAGACCTCACGGACAACCACCGCCACGGACCCTCAGGTTGGCCAAAGCGATCTGGTAGATACTGTCGGGAGCTTACGAGGCTCCTGGGACTGGCCCCGTACGTTCTCGTCCTCTTTGCAACAGAGAACAAGTGATTTCCCGGAGAACAAATGCACCTGGGGGGGTGCTGCCTGGCGGCCCCCTGCCCCATGCTGCTCCCAGAGGAGCTGGTGAGACTCGAGCAGGCTTCACGGGAAACAGGCTTCCTGGCGGCACCTGTCTAAGGGACCCTACACGGCCTCGTGTTCTCAAGGATGGGGGCTGGCGGCAGGGAGTGCCCTCTCGGGGCCGCCGGGGCCGCGGAGCAGGAGATGAGGCAGGGCCACCCACCCGCTGGACGCTCCCTCTGCAGGCCTGGGGACACTGGCCCCGTTCCCCTGGCCCCTGGCTTGTCCCCGGGGACTGGTTGTTCCTCACTCGGAGGCTGACGATGGCTCTCAGCCTGCTGGGCTCTCTTGTTCTTCGGCCTGACCCTCGCTCGGCGAGAATGTTCTAGACTCGCGGCTCTCACACCTGCACCTCCACAGTGACCCGTACCCGTCCGAGGCCCAGTGTGGACACGCACTTCCCGGGAGCGGAAAGGAGGGAAGGGCCGTGTGAGAGGACAGCAGTTCCTGATGGGTCCGCGCGGTCTGTGCGCCCGCCTGCCGGGGGTGCGCCCTGAGAGTTTCCGTTATCGAGCGTGGGCCCAGAGTGCATGACTCCCACTCAGTCCGCCCTGCAGAGCGACCAGGACGTACTCACCGGCACCTTCATCTTGAAGTCATCTCTATTGAATTTGAACGCGAGGTCAGAGAGAGTCCTTTGGAAAAACCCCGTTGGGCGCAGAACCAGGACGAGCTGGAGGTTTGCTGGGAAGGACGCCTGCAAGAGAACAGAAGGGCCGTGGGCAGACGTGTGTCTGGGCACGGGGTCCTCGCACGCCTGCAGCTGATGGCGTGGTCTGGACGGGGAGGACGTCATGCCGGAACAGAAGTGGCTGCTGACACCAGGCTCTGTAGAGACAGCCTCCTTCTTAAAAGAAAAGGAGAAGGTCACGCTGCCGGGGCAAGCATGCGATGTGGGTTATCAACTGTAAAATCAAAAGCTTATGACACTTGTTCCAGGCTGCATGGCATCCCCCCAAATTCACATGTCAAGTCCAAACCCCAGTGCCTCAGGATGTGATTTGGAGACACGGTCTTTACAGAGTCGACCAAGTTTACGTGAGGTCATTCATTACTGAGGCCCCTAAGCCTATCTGCCTGGTCCTTACGGAAGGGAGACTCTTGGGCATGGACACCCAGGGAGACGCCGCGTGTGAAGACGGGGGACACGTCTAGCCAAGGAGTGCCAGGGATCGCCAGAAACCTCCAGAAGCGGGGGAAGGGACAGCTTCTGCCTCGCGGCCCCAGGACCAACCTCGGACCTCCAGCTCCAGACCGTGGGGCAGTGGCTTAGGCGTTTCCAGCCCCCCACTCTGTGGGCGCTTTGGGAGGACAGCCCCAGGGAACCAAGACACTTGTCAAATAAAAACAGAGCCATAGAGACACATAGACGTATTCCTAAAACAAAGATAGAAGAAAGCTCACACCCCAGTGGACACGCCTTTAGATAGTTACATGAATATATTCGGCTACCAGCTCTGCTTACAAGGTGCGTGACCTCGGGCAACTTGCCTCCCCTGTGCCTGTTTCCCCATTTGTAACACAGGGACAAAAAGTGCCTTCCCAACGCACACTCGTAACGCACACGCAGCATGCCGTCCTTGCACGAACCCTCAAAAACGAGGCATGACAGATACTTAGTAAAAGCCTATTCTAGGTGCCGATTATTCCTAGATGCTGATTTCCGGGGAGAGCCCATTACTAAAAGAAGACATTCTGAAGGAACGGAGTTTGATTTCTGGGTAACTGGGCGGAATGCAGCTGAAACATGATATATAGCAAAGATCGGCACAGCCCGAAATGGACAAAGGAGCACGGAGCGGGGCGGGAGACCCCAGCTTGCCCAGAGAGCCTGCTGGGAAGCTGTGCCCGCCGCGCTCCCCGCAGCCCACACACCCGAGCGTCTCAGCGTCTTCACCGTCCACCCGCCGATGGACGCTCCGGCTGCGGCCACACCCGGGGCCCCTCACATCCACCCTAATCTGGGCAGGACTGGCGCACGTGAGCCCCAGGCTCCCGGCCTTCTCCCCCTGGCCCGCCCCGTCCCGGCAGGCGTCCTCGGGAACAGACACACCGCCAGTCTTTGTGAGGCCCTGGCAGCAGGCCCCCGACGGCATGTGTGCCCCGGGAAGCAGTCACTGCCTGGTGCGGCCCCCTCCCTGAGTGTGAACCACCACTAAGCAGGTGCCGCCCCTGGATGGCCCTCAGCCCTGGGGCCCCCTCGAGCGTCTGGTCCAGTGGGTCTCACGGGCTGGAGCTCCTGGGAGAAGCTGGTGCTGTAGGAGCGGGGGCCCCGGGTCAGCTGCTCCTGACCCCCAGGCCTCAGGGTCACCCAGGTCAGAATAGCTGCCGGTGGGGTCCTGGCCTCACCCCCAAAGCCCCAAGGCTGGATCTGCCCTGAGTGAGCCCCCGGGGCCTCTGAAGCCAGGCCTGATGTCCACGTGACAGCAAGTGCCTGGAACAGAAGAAAAGCCAGGAAAAGCTGGACCCGTGGGTACCGGGGTGCCCCAGGCCGGCGCCCTGCCGGTGCCAGTGACCAGTCAGTGCTCGGGCCACACCCCGGGCTCTCCTGCCTGCGCCTTCCTCTGGGGCCCCACAGCCAGTCCCAAGGCCTGGGCACTGTCCCTCCAGCTCCTGCCCCGGACTCCTTCCCCGAGCAAGCTCCGCTCCCCCGCCCCCCCCGACCGCTGCCCTGAGCTTATTCCCCACCAAGTGCCACTGGGACCCCTGTGGGGCATCAGCTGCATCACGACCCCGTCCTGAGCAAACCTTCCAGACACTTCTGCATCCTGTAAACAAACCAGAGTCCAGAGCCCAGCCTGCGGCGGCCTTGCTGACCTCCGCCCCGCCCCGCACCCAGTGCCCCCGCTCCCGAGGGCCTCACTGCACAAGGGGACACCTACCTGCCCCCTGCCTCTCTTCAGGTTTGCCCCCCAAACACGCGGTTCCCACCCCTGCGTCTCTGCTGCACGTGCCCCTGACCCAAGGCCGCCGATGGCTGGTGACCGTCCTGCGGCCCCGTCCCGGCCGCCGCTCGCGGGCCACCACGCGCTCCCCGCCACGTCTGCGGATGCCCCTGTGCTGTCTCGGGGTTTGAAGCTCCACCGCTTCCTGGTGACTCGGGGCTGCGTCCCCGGCCCTGTGCTTCTGCGGGAGGGCCCCCCACACCTGCGGGCTCCGTCGTCCCCAGAGCCCCCAGGACGGTGCTCACACTCGGCCCCCCCCCCCCCCCCCCCGCGGCCCCTGCAGCCAGGGACAGGACGTGGGCAGCGGGGCGCTGAGTTGTGGCTCATCGGGCTCATCACGGGGCCGCGTGCACCCACTGGGCCGCAGCCGGGCCTGGGGCACCCCGAGGGCGCCCGTGTGCCAGCGAACCGCACCAGGCGCCCACGGTGAGGCCGGCGGGGCGGGACTGGAGCAGCCCCCGGAGCAGGGCGCCCATCCTCGCTCCCGACCACGCGGGGGCGCCCTCGCGGTTGGGCTCCTTTGAGCGGACAGGAAAGAGTGAGAGGAGCAGCGCTGAAGGTGGGAGGCCCCGCGGGCAGGTTCCGGGGCAGGTTCCGGCCCAGCTGTCCGCGAGCCGGCTGCACCCGTGAAGCTGGCCACCACTATTTAAGGAAAGCCCCCTCGGAGGCGACAATGAGTCATCCCTTCTAAATTCCAGTACCGTTCTATCCCCCTCGTTTGCTCCTCTCGGCTGCTGTGATGTGAGGACAAGAGCTGGGACTTAGAAGAGGGGACTGCGCCTGTCCTCCTGAGATTTCCCGTAGATTAACTCCGCAGGCCACGGGGGCCACAGCTCCGTCAGCTGGCGGAGGCGGGAAACACCCCCTCTCCTGCCTTCCCTCTGCTCTGGTCTTTCCGATTCTCTAACTTCCCGAGTCTTCCACGGACGAGAGTAGCCATAAGATCCTGGCCACGTGACAAGGCGTTAATGATCTACACAAACACATATTTCGAACACAAAGAACAGTAACTAAACTTTCTCTGGGTTGGAATCAACTGTATGTGCTAAGAGCTGGGAAAACACCGTTGACGTTTTACTGTACAAACAGGGAACTGGAAGAAGGATTTGGGATGAGGGCTGCAAAATTCCTCCGTGATCAAAGAAGGATTGCAACAGGTTTTGTAAGGTCAAGTGATATTGTTTACTTTCCGACCTAGGAACACCACAGCGTGATGGCCACACAAAGGTCATCTGGAGACAGAGAGAGAGTGAAGTGGTTTCTGGATAAACATCCTAGAGGCTCCTGTGCATCCAGCATCACCTCCACCAAGAGGCCCTCCTGGTGCTCACACTGTTCCCGTCTTCACCTCCATCGGTACTCAGCACTTTGTGCTTAGACTAGCAAGCAGCACATGGTAGGAACTCGTTAGCTTGTCTAAAGCGAGATTATTTGCCACGTTGGAGTATTTACTGGGTGACCTAAAGGCCTGCACCCCTGGACACTTCACGTTCTACCTGTCCTGCAAACGCGGGCAGCACTAGCCTCACAGGCAGGAGCCATGGCCCTGCCCCACGCAGACCGAAAGCGCCTTCGGCTGGAACCTTCTTCAGCAGCACGCTCTGGGACACAGATGAGCTTGACTCAGGTCATACGTACACTCCGGTACAAATCCCCAGGTGCTCACAACCACCCTCGCACGCACCTGTGTAGTGCAAGTGCTAAAATGGGAAACGGAGCCCCAGAGGAGCATGCCTGGGTATTTTCCAAAAGACACCTTCATCCGCAGATGGTGCAGACGGAACGGGCGTGGCCTCAGCACCGCGGCTCCTGGTTTGCCCCTTTGTTCGCCAGCTATGAGCACGACTGGGACGGGCGAGCACGCCCATCGCCCCCGCCGCCCCCGCCAGAGCTGACGCAGGAGACACGCAAGCCTGATTTTGGGGACTCTGGACTTGGGCCCCTTATTTTTCTCCTGCAAGCCAAGCTGAAGGCTTCCGAACAGAAACAACGCCTCGCCACGGGCAAGGCTCCGCTCAGGAGCTGGCACACATGGTGGCTAAAAACAGCCCCCAAATGACCGCCTGTATGTACGTGCCGCATCGCACTCGGGCGGCCAAGCACATCTGGAGATCCAGGGAGCCCTCGTGCCACCAGCTTGCCGCCAACCGTGGCCTAGGCACTCGGGGGGGCCGTCCACGGGGCAGCACCGGCCCTGGGGCCCAACCCCTCTCGAGGGTGGTGGCCGGGCTGGTGCCAGGTGGTGGCTTCCCCAGAGCCCCCCAGACAGAAGCACAGGCCCACCGAAGCTGGTGGTCTGGGTCCACAGCCCCAGTTGACAGCGTCAGTGGGTCAACTCCGTCCCCAGCCCGCTCTCGGGCACGGGGACAAGCGTGCCAGCTCCATTCCCACCTCCCGTCCCCACCGCAGAGCCATGGTGGAGGCCTCACCCCGGACACCCTGGCTCAGCGATGGGACACACACACAGGGCAACGGGACCTGGCTTGCAGCCTCCCGACCTCCCTGCAGGACTGCCCGGCGCTGCCTCAGGCACCCCTGCGTGTTTGCAGCTCACAACCCACATCACAGCATCTGTCAGCTGTCTGCACCCCACCTGGCTGGACACTTCTAATGCTTATTCCCCGCTTACGTCTCCCATGCCCCAATGCCTGCCCAGGACCAGGCACATAACAGAGTCTCAATAAACGTGCTAAATGCATGCACAGATTTTTGGGCATTCATGGGATCAGTAAATTCATGTAATAAAAAGAGTAGGAGTTAAAGAAAATTTTTGACAAGTATGTGGGGAAAATGTTAACTTCTGGGGTTTCCAAACCAGTACCGGGGAACCCCAAAACTTATGGGAAAAAAGAGATTCTAAAACCTTATTGTTTTTATTGTGTACAAATTTGTGCCAACATTAAAACTCAAACATCAACATTTCAGTTTTGATTTTCACAAAACAAAGTTTTAAAGATGAGCCAGCACACTTGAGAATCCACCTGGTCACGAAGTCAATGACACAGGAAACCGGGATGGCCGTTGGCGGGAGGAGGGCTCTGCGCCCCTGGCGCCTGCAGGTCTGCCCCGGGGCCACGCGGCTCAACGGCAGGGGGCACTCGCAGGCTACTTCAGTTCTTAAAAGTAATGCATCTCTTTCTTAAAAAACTATCCTGTATTTGGGGACGCTCCTGTGTCTAACCAGGAGTGACCGATGGCCTCAAGAGACACGCAGGGAGAACCTATCTCGCCCGGGGCCTGGGCTGGGTGCCTGCCGCGGCAAGATGGGCCGGACTTCCAGGAACGAGAGATGTGCAGGCAGGAGTGGCGGTGCCTTCCAGGGCGGGAGGCCACACGGAGCACTGCGCTGTGGGGAGATGGGGAGGCGGGGAGGCCGGGGGAGAAGGAGGAGCAGAGGACCCCGGAGAAGGGGATCCCTGTGGTGCTGGGACGAGGTCCCACCTGGGACAGGCGTGTGTGCAGACGAGGAGACGCCCGTGACCGCCACATGATGACGTGCCTGAGCACGTGTTAGGTCAGGGCTAGATAAACGTAGAAGACCTGGAGAGAGTATTTAAATTTGAAAAACGTTGTTATTATAACAGCGTTACCTTCTGAAACAATGACATACTTGACTGGGAACATCTTGGTACTGAACCCAGGACTAATGTAGTGATTTAAGGAATATTTTTAAGTCTATTGTGCATCTGACCCAGTGGTTCTTACAGTTTAATTCTTAATTTAGCCTGCCATGTGAGGTCACATGCAAACTGATTTTAAAATTTGAAACAATGAAATGGACACATTGGCTGTTAACTGCTCATGGCATATCAAAGTTCTTTGTAGGCTTCACAAGATTTTAAAGCAAAAGCTAATTTTATAACAAGTCTACTTCTTTTGAAACATTTCAAAGTGCTTTGATTTGTTTCAGATAAATGACGGCACAGGAAGTGTGTGAGGGGTGTAGACCAGGAGCAGGAAACCCACGTGGGGGGTGTAGACGAGGAGCAGGACACGCGTGTGGGGGGTGGGGACGAGGAGCGGAACACACGTGTGTGGGGTGGGGACGAGGAGTGGGACATGTGTTTGGGGGGGTGGGGATGAGAAGGGGGACATGCGTGTGGGGGTTGGGGTGAGGAGCGGGACACACGTGTGGGGGGTGGGGATGAGGAGCGGGACACGTACTGGGTGGTGCAGGGAGATATTTTTCGGAAAGACAAAGGTGGGACCCATCAGCCCAGGGCCAGGTTTGCGCCGAACTGATGCAGGTGTAAGAGAGCAGACAGCAAGCCTCTAACTGCTGTTAGGACGGAGAGTGAGGCGATCTGCGGGGGAGGAAGCGATTCTTCCGTTCCACCCAGAGCCTAGCACAGCTGCCTCTCTGGTCAGCAACCAAAGACGGTTTGAACTCAAGACCGAGCAAGAGGTTAGCAGGATTTTACCCGGGGGTTAGGTGTTTAAGAAATGCTTGGGAGCAGCAGAGCTGTCCCGGCCATCGAGCCCGGCCACAGTTGCTGTGGGTCCCCCTGCTGTCGTGAGTGAGCGTGGGTGACGTGCTCCACATGGAGCTCGTGGGCAGGGCAGAAGCTGCTGACTTAACTCTTCCCTCCCGAATTATCACTGCAGGCTAAAAACAGCCACACAGGATCCGCAGAGCAGCTGCCCTTCTGCGCATGAAAGGTGGCCGCGGGGGTCCCTGGCTGCGGGCATGGGTACCCAGGAAGGTCGAGGTGTCTGGGTTGTTGGAGAACTAAAGGGTAAACAGCCCTTTTGGAAAGGAAAAATTCAATTAGGAAAAGCTGTTCAATACAATTTCAAACATGTAGCCTGAAGAGTCTCTGTACGACATCGGACGTCCTGTTAATTAAGGACTGTGTGCTCCATTTAAGAGCAAACACACGTTCAATCCTCAGCACCGCCCATACTCAGTGTCAGAACAAACCAGCTGGTGGGACTGTTTTTAAATGATAACAAGCCTGCTAAGAGTGAACCATTTAGAGTACACACATGCACATGCACGCACGCACATGCACGCACACACATGCACACACATGCACACGCACACACATGTGCGCACACACATGCACATGCATGCACACACTCCAGTGGCTCCAGCAGCCCAGGGGGTTGTGGGCTCCCACGTGGCCCCTGGCCCTGCCTCAGGCCACGGGGGCTGGTGCACCGTGCAGCGCGGGCCGGCAGAACACAAGCTGTCCCCAGCAGACGGGTGGCTAGGACAGAAACAGTGCTGTCACCTGGCCCAGGGGATGAGCAGAGGTGTCACAGAGCCTGGGCACCAACACTTACTGCTATTCGCAGGATTGATGCCTTCACCGAGGTCCATTTGTCCTGCCTTCGGTCTATGACCAGGATGAATCCAATGCCAGCATCTTGTAAGCTGAAACGGGGAGAGAGATCTGCAGTTAGCATGTGCAGCAGGCTCACGGGCTGTCGTGTAAGCTCTGAGAAAGCCTTACACTCCTATAATCCTGGGGCGGCTTCCACCCTGCATGGTGAAACGCATGCCAAGTAAGCATCTAAGCAGACTGCAGCATTTCCCTGAGCCTTGCCCGGGCAATTTCCAGAACGTGCTCTTATCCAAAGACGGACAGATGACCCCCTGTGTGCTGCTCACACTCCCAGCCCCACACCAGCCATCTCACGGCGCAAAGACCCCGGCAGACCCCCTTCCCAGAGCTCCGTCACCCATCGTGGTCCTTTCCGGGTTGACCAGCTGGCTAAACCCTCCAAAACCGGTTTTATGATCCGTACGTCACCTCAGTCCTGGCATCTGAGGTCCCCCTGTGTGTCCACGTTATAAAATCGCTCTTGATGGCATTGCTACACCTTTGGGAGTGTAAAATCCCCGAGGCATCCGCAGGCTCACAAGCATCTGTCGCAAGCGGGAGGCAAGAAATGGCTGCTTGCAATAGCAACATCTGTGGTCAAGAGAACGCCGAGTCGCTGTGGAACGACAACTCCGTCCTGCCTCAGCCCAGCGCACGGGCCTGAGTCACAGTGGGGAGCGGGGAGGTCCGCTTCCGTCGGGTAACTCCACATCCAAGCCAATCGTGCAGAGCCAGCTACTGCCTCCGCCAGCCAGTCCGCGGAGGGAAGAAGGGCACGCCCGAGGCGCCAACTTGAATTGCTAATTTCCAAATCTGCGAACATAGTGAGGAAGCCACTCCGGGTTTAAATGAAAATCAGAATTACACGGAGCAAGTGTAAATGACGCAGTCCGGAAATACTCTGCGGGCTGCACACATTACATAACAAAGCCAGGGCTGTCCACGTGTCCTTCTGCCTCAGGTTTCAGGGGGCGATGGCAGGGGCGCTGCTGGCTCTCGGTGCTCCCCCCGCTCCAGCTGTTTACACCAGTCGGGTTCAGTCACGGCAGAGGCCTTCCAGGTGAATGCACACACAGGCATCAGCTTTCATCCGGAGTAGCCCTTCTGCGTGGACACACAGCGAAAAGCCACGATCCCCCTTCACAGCCGTGTGGCCGCCCCACAGAGAACTGTCTTCGGAGCTGCTTTAGTTCTTTGGCACAGAAGGTCTGTTTGTCACTTGAGCTTCATTGCCAGGAGTGGGGGCTCCACAGCAGCCATGCTCCCCACACCCTGCCTGCCAACTGCCTGGTTCGGGCTGGGCAGGCCAGCGAGGAAGCCGCGAGGCGAGGGAAACCCTGGTTCCCAGGCTCTGTGCTAGGCCGGCCGCAGGAGTTCAGAGAACTCCGGACCGCTGCGGGGGCGTGCTCCGTCCTGGGCCGGCCGCGGGAGTCCGGGGGTCCGCTGTGGGGGTGCGCTCCATCCTGGGCCCGCCGTGGGAGTCCGGGGGACCACGACAGGGAGGAGAGGAGAGAGCATCTCCGGGCGAGCTCTGTCCACAACAGGTGTTCTGCTGAGACTTCCCCTCCCAACCAACCAGCCACACCCTCCTTGGAGGGGTTCACACCGCCTCAGAAGCCCTGAGCGGAGACTGTCACCTGGGTTCTCACCCTTCCTGATGCAGGAGAGCAGAGGGCCGAGACATTCGTTTCCACTGTGCACACCACCAACCTCCAGACCAACAGAATCCACCCCATTCTCCAGGAGAGGCACTGCCAAGGGGGCGGCTCCTCAAGGCACCATGGATCATCTCAATTTCCGTTCCTCTAAAGATGGGCACCCAAACAGTGTCCCCGTCTTGGGGCTGCCGAGAGGGAAATGGGCCGATCCTGTAAACCCACCAAGTGCTTGGTAACTGTGGATTCTCACTCTCGTTGCCCGACCCCATGTCTCCCCTTCTCGCTGAAACGGAGCTTTGATCCTGGTGGGGACTCCCTGTTGTCCATGACAGGCAGGTTCCCTTTGCCATTCCTCATCAGACCTCACAACGCCATACCTCATTTGAGCTTCCAAACCCAGAACATTCTCTCTTGCGGCCCAAACACACCCATTTTCTGCCGCAGAGCCCACCATGCTGGGCCCTATGCCCTCAGCGGAGTGTTCGCGTTTATGCAAATGCACAGCCACTGGTAGGCCCCAGGGCCTCAGCCCCACGCCCCTTGTCCCTTCCACACTGCACTGTTGTGATCGGAAGACCAGCATCACAAATAGGCATTGATCAGAATGCAGCAAAAAACCCATCATCAACAGCCCAAGTCGAAAAATAAATAAATAAAATTAAAAGTGAAATACAAGGGGGTGGTGGTGCCTGGGCGGCTCAGTCAGTTAAGCGTCTGACTCTTGGTTTCAGCTCAGGTCTTGATTTCAGGGTCATGAGTTCAAGCCCCGTGTTGGGCTCCATGCTGGGTGTAGAGCCTACTCAAAATATACATACATACGTATATGTACATATATATACATATACATACATACACACATATAAAGGAATTGAACATTAACTTGTCTCCCAGGCCAGGCCAGGACCCTCTTTCTAGGAAAGGAATTTCTTGTGCTTTGGGGCTGCCAAGGGCAGATCTACTTCTTTTAATCCTCATGACGGCCCCATGAGGTAGGGACCACTATCTCTCCAGCCCAGAGTTGAAGAATGGAGGCTCAGAGAGGTTGAGTCACTTGCCCAAAGTCTCACAGCAGATGAGCACGGACGGGGTGAACCCCGTGGTCTGGCTCCGGGTGCTCTCAGTCCCCTGCAAAGCTGCCTCCCAGGCCAAGTCCACCCTGTGGACTAGAGCAGCCCCCCTCCCAGCCTCCCGTCCCTGGACAGCCTCCTACACGGGGCCAGGCAGGAGCCCTCCTCCTCGGGGTCCCTGCACCACTCCTGGGTGTCGGGGGACACGCTGAGGGAGAGCTGACTCCAGAAGCAGACAGCGAGGCTGCCCACATGCCAGGACCCAGGACACCCCTCCTGCATACCCATCTCGTCTGCCACCACATTGGGGACACTGACCCACAGGTGCACAGACTTAAGAAGCTGAACCATCTTCAGGATGTGGAGACCTTTCTAGCCTCCCACGCGCCCCCACAACTGCTGTCCCCGAGCAAAGCCGCTCGGGGCTTTGTGCCGCCAGCAGCCGGGGCCAGCAGCACCACCCCCACCTCATGGAGGAGGGTCCACCGGGGGAAAGGACTCTGAGGGGAGCCCTGCTTCTGGTCCCCAGCCGCGGGTCTCTGAGCTCATATGTCCAGGGGACAGGGCAGCTCATGCGTGGATCTCTGAGAAGCTGCCCCCCAGGACCCTGCTGCTGCAGGCTTGGGCTGGTGGTGCTGAAGGGGGGGCAGTGGGAGAGACTGGCAGCCTCTGGGGCTCCTAGTACGCAGGACACACACAGCCCGGACGGCTGCCTCCCACCCCAAAACAGCTGGCTTGGAGGGGCCGCCCTGGCCACAGCCCAGCAGCTGAGTGAGGCTGATGAGCTCACTTTTGGCACAGAGCTCGAGTGAACTCTGTTTCTGGGATTCAGCCACACTGGTGCCCTCTCCAACACCTGGGTGGCCTTGGTGGCCCAGGCCCACAGCCCGTCACGTGGGTGCAACCTCCCCATCCCCGGGCGGGAGCAGGGAGCAGCCTGAGAACAGTCTGGAAGCAGGGGCTGGGCAGTCCCCTGACAGTGAGGTCTGCGGTCAGCTGCATCCCATAGTCTTGCTCCTGGCCAAGCTGCATCTCGTTCTCCAGACCCGGCAGGGGAGTGGGGGACTCGCCTGTTTACACCAGTTCGTCACAGAGCCGGGGCGGGTGGAGTCGCAAACACAGACCAGGACTGTGGGGCGAGAAACGGCAGAGAGCGGCCGTGGTGGGGACAGCAGAGGGACGGAGCCGGGGCACTCTGACAGGCCACAGCATGCTGCTTCTCAAACTGCAGCGTGCACATGGGACTCCCAGGGCTGGCAAATACGCAGACCCGGGCTCAGGGCGCCTCAGTGGGGCCACCTTGCTAACGAGCTCCCAATGCCGCTGCTGCTGGTCCAGAGCCACACCTGCCTGGCCAGTCCTGCAGACGAGCCCCGAGGGCCTTCTGTGACGCAGAGATGCCACCCCTGACCCGAGCTTCTGTCCCAGGAGAGCCCGGAGGAGGTCCGGACACTGGGGGGGCGGGGGTGGGGCTGCTGGACCTGGCGCTGGGCGGGGTCAGCAGGCAAGTGAGGACAAAGGAGGGGTGGTGAGCAGCCTGAGACTCAGCTGCCCCCCGACTCACAATGAGGTGACGTCAGGATGGAGCGGAGTGGGGGGACCCAAGGACACAGCAGGGAGGTGTGGGGGCGGTGGGCGTCATGCTGGCAGGAGGGGGTAGAGGGGAGCCCTCAGGTGGGCAGTGGCAGGGGGTGCACACTGGGGACGCCTGGAGGAGAAGCCCTTAGGAAGAAGTCTCAGGGTACCAGGAGGGTACTGCCTCTCCAGGTCTGAGATAGCTGGGGGGGCACAGCTTCCGGGAGCAGCAGAGGGGCCATGTGGGGTCCCCGTCAGTGCCCCTCCCGCCCCGCGCCGGTCCCCTTCCTCTGGGTGGCCTCCACAGGGCAGCAGGGCTCTCGGGAGACAACTTGGGGGGCAGCTTCCCACGCATGGTTTGGGGCACGCGGGGTGCCCGTCACAGACACCCATAAGAGCCCATCACCAGGATGAAGAATGCGTTCTGACCAATGGTGCCCTCCTGTGGCCGGAAGTGAGTGCTGCCTGCGACCCAGGCGGGCCCAGGGTGCCCCACCAGGAACATGGGGACAGGCCAACTTCACAGGCTGTGCTAGTGGGCAAGTCCGGGAGCCCTCCTCCTCCCCCCACTCTCTCCTCCCCGGGCACGGCCACGGGGTCCCAGCTGCCCGCCAGGACGGGGTGTTTGGGAATCCTCCCTTCCCAGCTGTCTGAGGGGTCAGAGCAGGCTTTCAAAAGCTGGGATGATGGGCTGGTCCTAAGAAAGTCCTGCTTCACGGCCAATCCGTCAATGCTAGAACGTCTGTCCCC